AAACTCCGAACATGATGCCAGAAAGCCAGATGGAATGAATGGCAACCTTGCACCAACACGGTCATTGCTGCCGAGTTACAGCGAGATTGAGGTGGAATTCCTCACTGTCAAAATGCAGACACTGAAAAGACTATGTGTGAGACTATAGTGCAGTATGCTGCTCTACATAGTAGGAGTTGCTTCTTCCCTGACTCCCTCTGTGCTCCCAGCAGTTGGCTACAGAGCTTTAGGTTGTGAAAGAGTTGCCCAGAAACATATACCGTATATGGTATTGTCAGTATTTATCAGCAAAAAATCTAATGAAATATAGCAGGGATAGCTTCAATGTTATGCTCTTCCCCCCTGCATTGATTAGTTTCTTTTAAATGTTGTGCTGCAAAAACATTTTATGAACTACATTTTTTCCCATTAAACCAAGTAAGCCAGTTTAATGTCAAACTTTCTGCTAAGGGTAACGGGACTATAATTCATAACCATCTACACGATGCAAGGTAAAATGTAGCCATTGTTGTAATATTCTATTTTGATATCTAATTTTCAAATACACAGACATCACATTACTATGAACTCCAATAGCTGGGGCACTCTGTGATAAACTCATAGATTTTTTATTTTCCTGTATCGCTGAGATACACTGATATATACGGATATATACTGCACATTACTGTAAGTTTTATTGCTGTGGAGCTCCAGGAAACACTCATACACACTGTACATTACTGTGAACCGTATTGCTTTGAAGCTCTGGAATACACACTGTACATTACTGTAAACAGTATTGCTGTGGAGGTCTGGGATACATACTGTACATTAAGGTGAACTGCATTGCTGTGGAGCTCTGGGATACACACCAAACACACATAGGCAGTTAACTTCCATTTTTTTTTTAAAAGCACACTAATGTTTCCATATTTCACAGTTGCCATTTTCAACATCAACTTTTTCTATATTGTTGAAAGTTTATTGGGGCTAAAGCATCAAGTGTATTCTTTATTTTGCTCTGTGTATGTGATGCCTTGGAGAAGTATGTTATCTAGGTTTGATTTGTGCTCCCTAATTTGTTACTTTATCAAGCCACCATATTATTGCAAGCTTTATTACACTGTCCAGACCCACTATCCAGCCAGTGAATGGATATTGAGGATGCAATGTTCTCTCGCTCTAATAGCCAAATTACCGTGGTCCAATGTTGCTCATGTCTCCAGGCTTTTACAATCGACCAGACATTTATTGTTTTTTTATGGCATAAATTGGCCAAGCAGGTTGCACCCCTAACTTCTATTAACCCTTAAGGACACAACTTCTGAAATAAAAGGGAATCATAATGGAATATTTCTGTTGTGTCCTTAAGGGGTTAATCAGGTAGCCCTGATACAAACTCTACAGCAGTGGATCTCTGATTTAAAGGGACACTATAGGTACCCAGACAACTTCAGCTTGTTGAAGTTGCCTAGGTGCACTGTCCCAGGTCCCTTAACCCTGCAAACACAATTATTGCAGTTTTTAAAAGACTGCAATAATTACCTTTCAGGGTTAACTCCACCTCTAGTGACGGTCTACCAGATAGCCACTAGAGGGACTTCCTTATGCTATTTTTCTAGCTTAAATGTGACATAGGCCCAGAGAATCATAGTGTCAGGTTTACAAGGGCATCGAATACATTTAAAAACCCCAACAAATCAGTACATTAGAGGGAATGCCCACCTGCCACATCAAGGCAAACCTCTTAGGTGGGTACTACACTAGTGTTACAAACTGCCGTTTGTAACTGGGATTTTATGTGACAAATTGCCCTGTGTCCTTGGCTTATGGAGAAGCCTAATTGCCAGCCTCCTTCCTCATGATTATGGCCATGCTGGGTATGGCCCTTTAAGAACAGCATTGGGGCTTATGGATTTTTATTGGACCGTGCTGGCCCTTTAAGAACCGTCTAGGGACATATTGTGACTTTTGGGAACAATGCCCCTTTAAGACTATGTCCCCAGACCTTTAAAATACTTTGCTTATGGCTTTCTCCCACTTAGTTCAGTAAATGGGGCTTACTGAACCAAGTACCACACAGGTGGCCCACCCAGAAGTGGAAGTGTGCAGACAATTTACCAACCAGGCTGGGAGCTTGATGAAGGTAAATTGCCGACCGCTGGGTGGCCGCAGTTCGTGCAAACGAACACATGGCGGTGGCCATCTTTGTTCATTCGAACAAGGTCAGCGGTATGTGTAGCCAAATCCATGGAACCGAAATTTCACACATTTCAACGAACACCGCTGACTCTTACCTTCTCCTAAACTCAGTTTTCAGCAACAGAGACTAAGTCCCGTTCGGCTGTTTGAACTCCGTTATAATGAGCCAAATGCACGAACGGCCACGTTCGTGCATTCAAATGGGACTTAGTCATTTTTCTGTGTAAAATAGACCGTTTTGGGCAGGAAAATGTGCTTGCGGTCGGTCATAAAGGACTTCCAGCTAACTTTTTAACGCCTGGATGGAATTGGCTGAATTTTGGATATGTTTGTAATTAAAGTGTGCTGAGTTATGAAGATTGAATGTATATTTTTAAAGTTGCAATGTATGTGTAAAAAGTATATTTTTCCTGCCTGTGATAATTACATCAACCCATTGTGTTCAGTAATTATATCACAGGCAGAGGGGAGGGTTTGTGTGTAATTGCTGGGAGTGTTTAATTGTAATGTACGTATTTTATTGGTTGTTTTACAAATCCCTGTGGGCGGTACTATGTTTGTAAAATGGGCATAAAAGCAGAGTTTTGGATTAAAAGTTCTTGAGTTCTTCTTCACCCTCAATCTAGAGTCCTGTCTCTTATTGGGGGAATTGCTATATCACTACAAGGGATTGCTATGCTCTGCATTCTCCCTTGGATAATCACTTCTAAGCTCTTTTAAGAGCTTGTTCCGGTCTTGCTCTTCGAAGGAGTTTACAGTGGTTATGGTGTCAGCTGGAGTGCTTGGAGCCCTCAGAAAGCGCTAGGAGCATCCTTCAACGGAGGTACCCAGTCGGGGTGCCAGGTGATCCGTTACAACTAGCCATTCACCTTCTTCCTTGAGCTTCTGGCAAATATATCTCTAATGAGACAGAAAGGGGTATTTTCTTGGGCTCAAACTCCCACCATTCTTGGGCAGCAGCAACGACCTTAGTACACATCAGCCCCAATACATACAGTAAAAAAAAAGCCTCCATTTGTTTAAATATGTATAGGGATTTGGGAAAGCGCGCAGGTAATTTTTTTTTTTTTTTTTTTACTGTATGTATTGGGGCTGATGTGTAATAAGGTAATTTCTGCCGCCCAAGAATAGTGGGAGTTTGAGCGCAGGACTTGTTTTTTTGTATTTTTAAACAGTACATGATGGTAGGGTTAGATTTGTTAGACAATGTGAAATAAAATATATAATATATATATACTGCATATATAAATAAAAAAAGTTTAATGCACTAGCACATCAGAATTTTAACATTTCCTGTGAAGATATATATATTTTAATACAATGTTAAAAACAAAAATCTGCACACCAGTCAACCATAAGACTTTCTTTTCCCACAGAAAAATTAGCAGTGATGTTACTACTGCAAAGGATTCTGGGTGGGCATATGAAGATTAGTTTAACAAAGGATAGATATATATCTATCTCCACAAAATGGGGGTAGTTTTATAAGCTAAAAAGCCGTCAGTTTTACAAACTGAATAAGGCATCTAATATATTTAACTATATTTGACTAACCCCCCCAAAAAAAGAAAAGCACAAAAACAAACAAAACATAAATGGAGGGAACCGTGCGTAAGACAATGGCAAGTAAAAATAATGAAACTATTACATTAATGCACATCGGACAATGATATGCCCTGTGAAAATGGAATTCATGTGTGTAAGTAAAACACTAAAAAAAGTACTACTACTACTAAATGCATGACATGGTATTACCCAGTCTGCTATATGCTCTAAAAGGCAACATAGGCCCAGCAAACCAATCTGACAAATTTCAATGTGTAAAAAGGAATATGGACAAGTCCTATATTTGCCCCTGAAAGTTTCCAAAACACCACGAAAGCTGTACATGGAGGGCATTGTTGTACTCCGGGGACATCACACCATACAAATGTGTATTTTATTGCAGTAAAAGCTAACCGTATTAGGACATTCATAGCTAAAATGCCATGTAGAACTTGGAAAATAACATTTCTTAATTTCACACCTTTTCTTTATTTTCTGCATAATAAATTAGGTTTCATATGTAAATCTATGATGTGTAATGAAAGCCGCATTTCATGAACAGAGCTATATATAAGAAGTGTTGGTGCACTTAATATGAAAGAAGTATACTACGGTTGAACAAACAGATAGCTCACATTAGGTTTTGTTTTGGTCAGAACTTGTACATTTGCATCCGTCCTTTAGGAGTTAAACCACTTCGGTTTCTGTTTATGTAGCCCTAGCCATACCTCACCAGGCAGTGACTCCTACAGCCTGCATTAAAAAAAGGCTTTCATTTTCAAACAGATATCTTGCTTTAGAAGTTTGTATCTCCTGCTCCATAAATGGAAATGTAATCACACACACACTGGAGGCTTCTGCAGGTTATTAATAAGCAGGATAGAAATTCCAAATTATTGCAGAATGTGCAATAAAGGAAGATTAAACATTAGATCTCTATTTACAGGAAGTGCTTATACAGTCCTAGTCATTCCTCCTTGCATGTAATTTGCACAGCCTTCTTAAATAAAGGTATTTAACTCCTAAATGGCAGAAAATTGAGCGGTGAGATTGCAAGGTCATGATCTAAACACTAAACTGCTTTATTAAGATTTTTTCTTTTGGTGCCTATAGTGTCCCTTTAATATATTATAAGCAGTTATAGAAGAAAAAAACATTTTCTGAGGTTTGATTGTCGGTATTTAGCTTGACTGCTGACCCAGAACATAAATTCCTGTTATAAGCCCCAATAATGACAAGACACTTGTATATTGGATAAGGGCAACGGCCACAGCTTTATTTAAATCAATGTTCCAGCATTCCTTCCACCTGTCAGCTGTTGGAGTGATTGCCCAACAGAGAGGCAATACATATATTTTCCATAGTTTTAGACAGCCTGCCTTTCGCCATCAGCCCTAGAAGGCTGTGACTCTCCAAGCCAACTCGGCACTTCCATCACTTGCGCTAGCCAGGAAACAGCATGCTGTGACAAAAAGAACAGAAACTCCAAAAACAAAAGAACAAAGACCACAACAACCAACAACATTCTTACAAGTGGTAAGTACCCTCCCATCTCGTCCCCTTTTTGCAAAATTGTGTCCACATTTAACCATCCCCTACTATGGGCAGCAGTCATGCCTTCCCTTCAAGGTCAGTCAAAGGGAATCCTATATCTCAAGTAGCCAGAAAGAGGTATTATGTGGATTCTCTGCAAGGAAAGACCTGATCCTCTGAGTGGTTTTTATATAGGAGATAGGTTTATTCACTATTAATTTGCAGAATTACACTATGTACTTTTGTTTTTTCTTTTTAATAGATTGTCAATACTGAATAAGTGGCATAACAACCACAAACAAGTATAAAAATGTAGAGCAAATTATATATATATATATATATAAAAATAAACGTTAAAACCATTTTACTCTGGAGTACAAACAAAAAGTCCATTATGATGTATAGACAAGCAAAATCTAAAATGAAGTCTAAAAAAATGGCAGGTTCTGCTTAAGTCTAGATTTGTAAATTGCTCAATGTGTTACCACAAAAACCCTCTATCTTAGACGAGGATTCGGAAAATAAAATGTATGTTACATTGCTCTCATCCTGTTGTGTCATTTCTGTGTGATTGCCTGTCGAACAGGAAGCATGGTGTGGCCCGAGGTTTGAAATAGCATGGACGGAAAGCAAAGAAAGTTTATGCAAAAATATTTTATTTTTTATAACGTTAATCATAAATACCATCATAACGTACCAAAGGTTTTCCTAAAACTTGTATACATTGTAAATGCAGAATATAAAGCATCAAACTCCATTGAGGAAATTTCTGTTTAAGCTGCTCTAGCCTCTGCACCAGCAATACGACAGGCCACGGCAGTGATCAGCGCCGCTCCTTTGCCAGAGCCATCATCAGAACGCAAAAAGGTGACATCGCACTGGGGAGCCAGGATCTTCACAGTTTCTTGAACATTGACTGCAAAACTAGAAGTATAAAATAAATATTGTATAAAAACACAACCGTAGATATATAACCAGGGGGTGGGCACGAGAAAAATAAATAAATGAGTGAGTGAGTAGACAAATCTGGGTACTGTCTCAAAATCCTAACAACAATAGGACTACACATGGAGATGCCAGAGAAGCCATTTGAGTGTGGGAGTGCAAAGGAGGGTGGCTACAAAGAACGAGACCAGCTTTATGGCTTTTCAAATTCACAAATTCCATATTATGGTTATGTTTGAATCTAGAGAAAGAATGAGTAAAAAGAGACATTATATTCCAACGAGTGCAGAACACACAAAGCCCTCAAGATAGGAACAGGAGGATGTGATGGCAGAGTAAGGAAGTAGCTAAGAGTAACTGAAAACTAAAAATGGAAGGCACACCATTAAAAATGCAACAAACTGCTCTTACAAATATCATTTTAGAAAATGTGAAAGGCTATTTGTACATTGTAATACATGTCAGTTCAATGACAACACCATATTCTAACCATGTGTCCTTTATTAAAAAACAGAAGGATTAAATCGATCCCTCTCAAATGGTATTTTACCCAGTGGCGCCCTAGGGTGCTGGAATCCACTTGACAAACTATCTCGGTTTTGTTTCAGGTTTTTCTCCAGAGTAAACAAATGAAGTAGACAGATGTGTCTGAATAGAAAACTATAGAAACATTTTGCACTTCATTATATAAAAGCTCTCCTCTGTTCTATCTGCATTAAAAATGCTAAATACATTCAATCTAAATTCATAAAAACATGTCATTCTATAAATAAATTGGAAGTTGGAATTTAAAACCTACAGGAAAAAATTTGTTAGAAAGGAGACCTGATATTTAAACTGGATATGGGTAGAGTTCATCATCTGTAACTTTCTGTACAATCATCATTCTCAGCGACTGGGAGGTCAGTTTAAAAGTGGACATTTGCTTTACTATATTTAAAAGTAGCACTTACCACATCACATAGCACTTTCCAACGTGATACACCATTTAGAAAGTATATAATAGTACCTGAAAATGTGCAAAGGCAAACTACACAACTAAGGGAATGGAATACTTTAATTATGAAGAAAGGGTAACAAATTTAAGATCAGCTTAGTCTAGAAAATGCACCTCAGATGGGACATTAGAACGCTGCATCAATACATTAAGGGCCAATACAAACCATTGTCTGGAAATCAAGTAGTAAATAGAACTATAGACAGAACTCAAGGGCATCCATTTAGACTGGCGAAAAAGAGATTTAATCTAAGGCAAAGGAAAGGGCTTTCTACAGGAATAACAAAGATGTGGAATTCTCTGCCTGATGAGATCGTTTTATCAGAGTCACTACATTTTTTTTTTTTTTTAAACAGCAAGATATTCAAGGATATAAGTTTTTTTTTTTTTTTTCACTTGAAAAGTTAGATTTTTGTAACGTGTAGGGAGAGGAGTAAAGAAGGAAAAAAGGGAGAGGTGGGGACAGTGTCAATTTCAACACGGCACATATTTTTCACATCTGATCACATCTAAGAGAGATAGAGATGGATATATACATACACATACATATACATATACACACACACACACACACACACACACACACTTGAACAGCCCAAACAGTAAAGATCAGTGGGACGTTTACAAGGTTCAGTATGTCTAGATCTCTAAGGTTGTGAGACCTGTGGAGTAGTTTACGAGGAAAGTCATAGATATGCGGCCTGTGGTGCTGGTGTGTGTGAATCTTGAACATGCGTTGTGGATTGAGAACTCGCTACTGGGTAAAGACTACGTGTGGGTAGCTTCGGTCATGTGTGCTTGGATATGGTGCGACATCAGTTATCCATCCCATTTCTGTATTGGGATTATTTTTAGGGGGGAGAGAGCCATGGGCCTAAGTTCTTAAGGCGGAAGCACAGATGTTGGACATTACTCTTTTTGTGGTTGTTGGCCACTTAGCCAGGAGTTCAGTCGAGGCAAGGTGGGTATGGGTTTAGTACAGGTATACCAGGAATGTATTTGTATGCCTTAGGTTAGAGAGCAGAAATACAAGGTTACATAGTCAAGGGTTATCCAATCTCCATGTGTCCCACACATCCCAGGCCACTTGGCACGGCTTAGATGGGGGAAAGAGCAACGTAAAGCCTTTATCATAGAGACGTTGTTTGTCAAGGGCATTTATCAATTCTCGTATTGTTGGTGCCATGGGGGATTTCCAATGCAGTTCTATTAGTTTTTGGGTGGACAGCAGGATGTGGAGTACCAGTTTCTTTTTGCCCTTGGGCAAGTCTGGTGAGAAATCTAGAAGGAGGAATTGCAAGGTTTCAAATTGGAGAGTTATATATGTGCATTGCAACCACGTGCATTTCCAGCAGCGTGGAGAGGTGTTTAGAAATATTCTACATAATCTTGTAGGCACCATGTACCAGCGGTACAGCATTTTACGATGTTCAATATGTGCAGAGTTTTTAATTAGGCCCTTGGTCATCTGAAGTATACGTTCCCATTGTTTCGGGAGTATGGGTCAATGGAGGTCTTGCTCCCAATTTAGTGCTGGTTTGGATGCGGAGAAGGGTATGTGGTCGGAGATTAGCTTACAATGAGGTATCATCCTTTTGTTAAAGGAGCACTATAGGGTCAGGAACACAAACCACCATCTAGCCACTAAGGTCCCCTCATGGGTCCCTAAATATAGCAAAATCTTACTCGAATACAAGTCTGGAGCTGCTTGCTTGTCCCTGTTTTCCTTTTGACATCATCAGAAGTGGTAGCCTGATCCAATCACAATGCTTCCCCATAGGATTGGCTTAGACTGACAAGCAGATCAGGGGCTGAGCCAGCACAATTCAAACACAGCCCTGGCCAATCAGCATCTCCTCATAGAGAGATTAATTGAATCAATGAATCTCTAGGAGGAAAGTTTAGTTTAGTGGAGACACTGAATGTTTGGATGCATTTTAGGCACTGTCCAAGAAACCACCTCTAGCAGCCATCTGAGGAATGGCCAGTGGAGATATCACTAGGCTGCAATGTAAACACAGCATTTTCTCTGAAAAGACAGTGCTTACAGCAAAAAGCCCAAAGGTAATGATTCTACTCACCAGAACAAAAGCAATAAGCTGTAGTTGTTCTGGTGACTAAAGTGTCCCTTTAATACACATTTGTTCCCACTGTGTAATAGTGTGTGTAGATGGGATACTAGCGGCCTCTTTTTTAAAGTGCCTCTTCAAGTATGATTGTAGTTTTAGGTATTAATATTGGGAGGCATTAGGTAGTGTGTATGAGAAGGATATACTATTTCATGTGGGTTAACAGCTTCTTGACCCGAAGAGAGATCTAACCGCCATTCTGGGCATGAGAATTAAAAAAAAAAAAATTTTTTTTTAACTGTTGTAGAATTAGAAAGTGCTTCAAATGGTTTTTATTTTGTCATCTTTCTTATCAACAACAGTGAGAAAAGGGGGGGGGCCTGGTCGCCGCACTGAATAGTCGCACTTGGTGTGAGTCCCATGCGAGAATCAGATATTGTGCTGTTAAATCTATTTTCTACCCAAACAAAACAGCAATTTACATGCTGGAGATAATCTGTGTCTATATGAAATATAAAATCAACACGGATTTCCAGTTAAACGACAAGCAGCACAAACTCGTGCGGCCTACCAGTGGATGCGATTAGTGGACCAGTGGATTAGTCTCACAATGCCCGCTCTTATAATAATTTGCTTAATCACCAATATTGTCACATAAAGTTGCCACTGGTTACGGTTTTAAGTCTCAGAAATGTATAACCTTGTAACTGCTCAATTCGGAACGATTTATTATTAAAGCAGGCAGCATCCACAAATGACCTCTTTTGTAAAGTAACGACAAGACTCGAATGTACAATATACTAGGGTTCAAAACTTCCCATTGTCACTGGGGAGCGAAAATTCTGCCTTGGTGAGTAGAGATTCACACCTGGATCCTGCAGCCTTGGAGTGGCAAGTAACTTGAAATATTAAAGTGTGATACATAAGCTCTACTAAATATGGGTGGACAAAATAAAAATAAAATAAAAACCAAAACAGCAAAGAATATGCAACAATCTTTTGTATTGACAATTTTCCTATCTCAATCCCTTCAAGGAGAACCTGAATAAAACATTGAAAATTACATAGGATATGTGCCAACCTTTTCATGCAATGAAGTTTTCTTTTCAATGTAGGTTAAAGATTTAGCAATACTGTCAAAACTTCGTGCAAGCTAGGCACAGCCAGGGCACACAATACAAATGAGATTCTTATCTTCCATTCATTAACTATGTTGCATGGCAAACAAGAGCAAGATTTTTAACAAATGAATGAAAGGGAGTCCAGATGGCGGCACCCAAACCACAAAACACATACAAGTGTAATGACCTATTGACATGCAAGCAGACTTTATGGACCACATTGAGATGTCCTAAGAGAGTACCATCTAGGCACTAATTAGTTGAAGAGCTGTAGAGAGAAGGAGATGGTATATACTCACTGAGGATGAAGTTTATATAAGGTTCCATCCACTCCAACAGTGGTTTTTAGGTTGTCTAGCCCACGATTTTCTCGAATCTTCTCAACAACAGCAGCAATTCCAGCAGCGCACATTTGAGCAGCTCTCTTTGACACAATGGTACACACCTCCTTAACCAGTACTGTGTCATCACATGTACTACGCAAACCGAGGTCAGTCAAGATTGACCTAACCTGGACCAGGCCCAGTGTATCACTATAAATGGGGACAGTATCAGTTAGCATAAGAAATGTCACACACAAAGATATTGCCCAAGGGAACTGAATAGAGACTAAACAATCGCAGTGGGAGATTGGAAGGGTAAAAGCTTGAGAAGGAGTTAGGAGCCCCCAAAAAAGCTGAAATTAAACACAGATAAGAGTATGATACAGACTGAAGATTTGATGAAAAGAAATAGGCAATATGGGATGTAAATTAATAAGTGGTGTACTATATAGACTACACAAAGAAGAACTGCTCCATTAAAGAGGACGGGCCATCAAAAGAATGAGGACCAGACCCCACTCAAGATAAGTAAACAAAAGTAGAAACATTAGTATACAAAGCATTTACAAATAAATACATACAATTACATTTGTCCATAGTGTTGAAGGTCGGCATATTAAAACTAATACCTCGCTGTAGGGAGCTGCTCTAATACAGCACTTTTAATTGATTTTATAGTCAGAGTATGAATCTCTATTACTTAAGGATAGCAACATGCACAGTGTATTTTTTTTTGTTTGTTTTAACGTTGTTCTAGCTAGATCTCAAACGTAAAGATGTTTACACTATCATAAAAGTTTATGTAATTGGGCTTTTCGATGCACTAGCAAATGAGCAAGTCTGTGATGCTCTTCATAGTGCTAGTCACTATACGAGAGTGGTCTTTAAAACACTGCATGCCATTAAAAACGAGCATATGAATCCAGGCGGCTAGATATTAGGGGTTTTATAACAAAATGGGCTCAAAAAGGTTAGCCACCAGGCAAACCATCCAAACTTAAAACGCATTTACTATTTAATTACAGATACCGTAATATAAAAAAGCTTTAATCATTCTGAGATGACATGGATCAGATAAGAAAACTATGCACTCCATTACTGAACACATGTCACACTATCGAAATAAGCATATAGTTAAGCATACACAGGTAAGTTACATTACAGCCACCAAATGCAACTTATTGAAAGCTGGCTGCCCTGTAAGGCTCTTTACCAGTTACACAGAGGATGATAAAAAAAATAAAAAAAATATATGATAATAGTTTAAGAGAGACTTGCCTCTCAATGAGTGAGAGAAACTTGGTGGGAAAGATATCTCTTGTTTTTAACCTCTCTGAGATTTTGCCTCCAAACAAGATTCCGGATTTAGTGAGGACAATGAGAATCTGGCGAACAATTTCTCCAAGGTACATTCCACTAATCATCTTCTCATATCTGAAGGGGAAAAAGAAATATAAAAAAAAAAAAAGTTAAACAAATAGAAAGTTTTATTGATAATGATAAAAAGAATAGAATGAAAATAAACTGAAAAAGGAATAACCTGAAATACTCAAATACCAGAATGAGTATTTCTACACTGTCGGTAGAGTCGATGGAGATTTTGAGGTTTACTGAATACTTCTCTAAGTGTTGCAGAAACACAGCCATGTTGCAAACATAACAATATGCACTATGAGAATATTAAAAAAATGCACCGAATCTCTAGTGACTGTGTATATATGACTATACAGGTACAGCGAACGATAGATTCCCCTTAGAAAATATCCAAAGTTGGGCACAGGTAGATAAATCAAAGTGACAGATCTCTGACTTGTTTGTGCTGAGCATAGATGAACCCTGTCTGGTTATCCACACCAGTTATGCACACTTGGAAAACTCCTAAAAATAAAAAGTCCACAAGAGTCAAACTCCTCAAAAAAATTAATTTAAAAGAGAGATAGATATATATATACACACATATATATATATATATATACACACACACACACACACATACACATACATATACATACACACACAGAAAAAAAAAACAAAAAAACACACTAAGTTTTATTTTCTTACGTTTACTGGTCAGAGAACAAAATCGTGGAAAAAATGTTCCGTACTAAGTCCATCAAGCTGAACTTTTCAAACCTTTCCAAAAATCCATAAGAGGAGTGTAAAACACAGCTTTCAGTTCACAAGGTATAAAATTAATTGAAATATACACATTATATTACAGTGCTCTAGATTAAAATTAAATTACCCGTGTTGTTAATAGCCATTACAGCACTAAGAGTACATTTTTCCAGCTCGATTCCTTGGAAATCATACGCAAGATAATTAATACAGGTGGCATTAGATTATTTGTAAAGCCAGTGAATGAGTAAAAACACTGCAAGAAAAGGCGTGATTTCAGCCAAGCATAGCTTCACAGAGCAATACGCAGCGTTAAAAAAAAAAAAAAATAATAAAAATAAATAAGATTAACAAAAATAATAAATACTACAATAAAAAATTGCCGTTCAGCAATGCTAAGTGCAAGACAGCCGTGGGCACGGTGCCAACAAAGAGGAGAACAAGGCTCTTCACATATACACTTGACTGACTCGTTTGATCATATATTAAACAATTAGAGGTGAAACTAGTTTTGCATAATCTGATATGACAACTACATGATTTACAAGTAATGACTCGAGCATGTAAATCTAGACTTAAATGCGCCAATCATTAGAATAATGAAAATACAATAAACCGAATCCCTGGAGCCCACTTCAATGGCTTGGCAGCAATAGCTACCCACGGATTAAGTGCCCGCAACACAGTGTCCGTTCTTGTTTCAATAAGGAATGAGCAGGTTTATTAGTAGAAAACTCATTACACTGGTATAGATATGCAGAAAAGCATCTGTGTATTTGAGGAAAACCAAAAAAACAAGAACAAAAACGTGCTTTTAGCGCAAGTTAAATTGCACATCAGCTAGGGCAGTAGGTGCTAGAAATTGATAGTTGGCAAAATGCAGGCGACTACTAAATGACAATCAGTCAAAAGAGGAGAACGCAAAGTGTGAAACTATACTAAAGGATTTGTTTTCGGGTTTTATTCACCGAATAAAATGACAGATGTCAGTTTGCCAATATATATATATAAAAAAGCACACATGCTGTTGATTTTACACATACACTGCCTGCTATTTCATGTACTAAAAGCAAAATGTAAATGTCAGCCAAGTTTCAACAACATTATTCAACCTAAAAAGTCAACTTTGCATATGTAGAGCTTGTGCAGATTTCTTTCAATAAGACAAAAACATGTACCAAAAGTTAGATAGCAGAGTCTTCTTTTGGGAATTGCTTCAATCATAAGATTGTACAGCAAGTGTTCTAGATGAATTTAAAAATATCCATAGGAGTGTGCCAAATTAGAATTAAAATTGAGTTATTTTAATACATAGAATGTGACGGCAGATAAGAACCAGTCGGCCCATCTAGTTTGCCCAATTTTCTAAATACTTTCATTGGTCCCTGGCCTTATCGTATAGCTACAATAGCCTTATGCCTAGCCCACACATTCTTAAACTCTCTCACTGTGTTAACCTCTACCACTTCAGCTGGAAGGCTATTCCATGCATCCACTACCCTTTCAGTAAAGTAATACTTCCAGATATTATTTTTAAAACCTTTTCCCCTCTAATTTAAGACTTTGTCCATTTGTTGTGGTAGTTTTTCTTCTTTTAAATATGGTCTCCTCCTTTACTGTGTTAATTCTCTTTATGTATTTAAAGGGTTCTATCATACACCCCCACCCACCTCGTCTCATCTTTATAGACCATGGGAAGTTATTCATCTCAGTTACGTTTTTCCCTTCTATAACAAACTTACAATTACTTCTTGTAATGTAAAATATATATATTTATATTTACATTTACACTGCATGCATGCCCATTTCTCACTAGTTTCTCTACTGTGGACAACCTAAAGTTTATGTCACTTCGATGCCACCTCCATTTTCTTCTTACATATCCTCCTGGGAACCGAGGAAAAAAAATGGTCTTCCAATTTCTTTCCATTTTTGAGGAAAAGGAAGAGGAGGTTCCCAGCCTATCACATGACATATCACTGAAAAGCCCAAAAGAATACAGCAGAGATTGAATAAAAATAAAAGGAGATGCATGTGAACAAAATGTCCAGTACAGAGGACACAAGTTAATGGGCTGGGTCTCAGCAGGATATGCCCACTTCAAAGTTTTTTTGCCCTTTTGGCCCCCAAAGCCTAGAGAACACAACAAAATCCAAATGTAGGAATCCTCTAAATGGGGATATTCTTGAGAATACCTGCATTTAACATTTTTTTACAGGCTTTTCCCCCAAAAAAGGTAAATGGACTTCCATTCACGGTTGTGCAGTTTATAAAAGTCACTTAGTTTGATTGTACAGCATGCTCATAGCATTTTCATTTGCAGAACACAACCATTAGAAAAAAAAAAGAAAAAAAAAAACACAACAGCAACACATACACAAAGTGGTTTGTTTTTAAACTTAAGAGAATACACACATCAGGGGTGCCCAAAAGGTAGATCCCCAGATGTTGTAGAACTACAGCTTACATGATGCTTTGTCATTCTAAAGTCATGCAATGCATCATGTAAAGGCATGCAAAGCATCAAGGGAGTTGTAGTTTTAAAATATTTGGGTATCTACCTTTTGGGCAGCCCTGCACTACATAATTCATTTGTGACCACTACAGATTTTCATTGTATACCTACTTTTGTTTCCCTGGGTTGATTGAGAACTGATCTACATCACGGTCAAAGTCTGAAATTATGTTTTCCAGGCAACCATTGTCACCAAAGGCTCCCCACTCCATATTGACACACATAAGTCCATCACTTCCTTCCAGGACTTCAATGTTCTTCATTTCCTCCATGTAACAGGCATTTGTCCCTGTACCTAAAATAAACCAATTATACGAAGTCACCTAATGAGTGGGTGTTTGTAACGTTAACAGTAAAGAACAACATGGGTTACATAGTATTCTTTGTTTATACTAGAATTACTAATTTCAATAGACCATATGTAATTTTTAAGAGTTAAAATTAGCCCTTTCTCTTAAAATGATTAAAATATATTACATGCTGAATTTGTGTATCCTCCCTCCCATCTTATAAAATACATTTACAAAATCACCAGGATTAGATGGAGATATTGCTGAAATTACTTGGAAAACACTGAAATTTAATCAAGTCTTTTGATCAGGTCAGAGTTAAATTCATATAACCAACAATTTTCTTCATATCAATGAGGATCCAATTTAACCTTTTGTACATCCCGGATTACTGATCTATATTTGAGAAAATATAGGGTGGCAAGGAAACCCAATCCCAGGGTGAAACGTGAAATGTAAGAGGCTTAGGTCTATTCCCAGAGAATAGTCTGATAATTCAATAAGTGCTCCTGTTTGCAATAGACTAAAAATAAATAAATACATTTAAAAAAATGCTATTTTATTGCCAGAGAAAAGTACTGGAATACGAGCTTGATTCTCTTACCAGGGTAAACGATCTAATTAGAGGATTAGGTTATGAAGTGAAGAGGAGTGAATTGTAAGCTTCTTTGAAAAAGAAGATTATTAAAAAAGGAGGTTATGAAGGGGATAGAGAGAGTTCAAGACAATAGAGAAGAAAATTCTAGACCGCTATATAAACTAAAAAGTAGTAGTGTAAGAGGTACAAGACAGTAAAAATATTTGAAAATCTTTCTAGCCTTTAAAGATAGCACACACAGGGCCGGCCTTAGGGGTGTGCGAGCTGTGCGGCTGCACAGGACGCCATGGAGCAGGGGGCGCCGTGTGGCCAACACAGCTCATGCATGGCCGGCCAGGATAAAAAATTTAAAAAAAAAAAAAAAAATTTAAAAAAAAATAAATAAATAAAAAATTTTAAAAAAAATAAATAAATTTGCGGCAGGGCGTAGCTAAAAGTGCTGTGTAACTGCTGCAGGGGAAGCAGGAAGGAGTCCCTGCTTCCCACAACAACCAGAATCCAGGAGCTGCACGGCCTGTCTGCCTCCACAAGGAACAGAGGTAATGATGTGTGGCTCTCTGCCTGTGTGTTTGTGTGTGGCTCTCTGCGTGTGGTTGTCTGCCTCGGTGTGTGTGACTGTCTGGGCAGATTAGATGGGCCGAATGGTTCTTATCTGCCATCACATTCTATGTTCTATGTCTGTGTGTGGCTGTCTGCGTGTATGACAGGGAGGGGCGCTGGGAAGATTTTTAAGACTTTTGCAGTTAAATATGGTTATTTTTTGCCTCTTTCTCCAAACCTACAAATCAAGCATCTTACTTAAACCTCCTATGCTGTCACTCCGCTTTACGTCTCCAAGGTCAACCACACACTATCAGTCCTTATCCACTACTTCAACACTATCAGTCCTTATCCACTACTTCACGTCTAAACATTCCATTAAGGTGGAGCTACATCATGGCTTCTTTCGCCGGCCTCTCTATCACAAAGCATCAGCAGCTTCAAGCTCTTACACCCCAGTCTACATCACTAAGTGTAGGGGCCACGGGCAATTGTCAGCGCAGTTACATATACACCTCAATCATGGTAAAAGCTCCTCACAAGCTTTCAGTACACAAGCTGTATAAACTTGCATAAAGTGTGTTTTCTTTGAATCCTCTTTTGCCCTCTTTTACAGGCCTACGCGTACGTTGGTTTCGGCACACCTCAACCAACTTTGCGTCTCCTTCTACATTCCACTACGTATTAGATAAATTCCGAACACAGGTCGGAAGGCCATTTGGCCTGAATTTGTGGGAGGAGTTATGATCCTATATAAACCCTACCCCCCCTACTTACCTTTGTCATGCAAGCGGTTTGTCCCCACCCAAATACACCCATCTATATCAACAATTCACCTTTGTGGGCCCTCTTTTACAGGCCTACTCGTACATTGGTTTCGGCACACCTCAACCAACTTCTTCTACATTCCATATTAGATAACTTTCGAGCAATCTCTCTATATCTATCTGTATCTCTATAGCTATAGCACTCTCAGGTCTTAACAAAAAATCCGTTGGTATTTATTAAATAAATAAAAAAAGTTCCATCATCTGAAAGACGTTTCGACCCTACAGGGTCTTCCTCAAGATCTTGAGGAAGACCCTGTAGGGTCGAAACGTCGGTCAGATGATGGAACTTATTTAATAAATACCAACAGATTTATTGTAAAGACCTGAGAGTGCATCTCTTATTTCTCCATATATCCTATAACGTGGGATTGCACCAAGGCATCAAGGTATTTATTTATGAGAGACAGGGTGAGTGCCAAGCCACACACACACACACACACACACACACTTTTTTTTATTTATTTATTAATTTTTTAAATTTATATAGCAATATTGGCTTGTTCATCGGGTCAAAGAGGGAGTGTTGAAATAACTGCAAAACCAGATTCAGTTTCTACAGTGGTGCCGTAGAATGAACTACCTGGCAAAAATGGGCCAGAGCCTTCACAAAGATCAGGACAACAAGGAGAAAAGTCAGGTACCTCATGATTAGAATAAATAAGGGCAGAAATTTGACACTTAAGGGTACTGTCACACGGGTCTTTTTAACAGGCCTTTTTAAAATCTGTTTCAGAGAACCACTTATAGCTGTGGGAAGACCACCAAAAAAGGCAAATACACTCCGCAAACCTCATGGTAGATGCAAGACACCCCAGTCTTTCTGGCCTGCATGGGGGTATCAATGACTATCACAGAAACCCTTTTGTCATAGGATAAAATGTTAAAGTGCCAAGCCATCAGTAATAAATTAGTAAAAATTTGTTCCATAACAGTTCAACCATCTCAGAGGAGGCACAATACAAGACTTCATGCAATTGGTTGTAATTTTCCAGTCGGGGGATGCAATATTCTACAGGTCATAGATTCTCGTGAGTCACATTAAGATGAAAATGGCAGAGGGTTGCATCAAACCGAAGGCAATGAAGTAAGAGAGACCAGTTCCCTAGCTACAGGGGGGAAAAAAAAAAAAGAGTTAAGTCTTTGATGACGGGGAAAAGAAGAGAGAGTTAGAACTGTATGTGTTTTTGAAGTGAGAAACTGCATCAGTCTTGTCTGTGGCTATAACTCTTGGGCAGCAGAGGAGGAGCAGAGTGGATCAGACAATGCATGTGTTAATAGCAATGCAAAGTAAATGACTACATCAAAAGGCAACGTGTTATGAAACCTTGAAATGAAAAGCCTAATAGCAGGAGAAGATAAACCAAACGGCAGTAGCCGTGTAGATGAACACAATAGCATATGCAAATTTCCTGGGAGTATTACCAGGCTATTAAGAGTGGAGAAAAATTGCAAGACTTTGAAGTATGTGAAAGAAAGAGAAATAGAAGAGAGGACAGTTAGATTAGAGCAAACAGTGTTTAAGTGTCCCTCTGGCCATATTAAAATGTCAGATCATATGGCGTATAGGGTCACGAGGGGCCAATTTGAAAACATTTAACTTTTTATTACTCCTATATAATAAGATAAATGGCAAAATATTTCTCTGGTTGTGTTGTCTCTGTGACCCATAGTCGGCTCCCTACAGCAGTTTTTGACCTGTATCGAACTGCAAATACAAAGTCAGTGGACTATAGCAGATGTAGGCAACCTTCAGCACTCCATATTTTGTGGACTTCATCTCCCCTGATGCTTTGCCAGCATTATGTCTTTAAGAGAATTGTGGGAGATGTAGTCCACAACATCTGAAGTACCAAAGGCTTCTTACCCATGGAATAAAGAATACATTGTGAGAAAAGCAACCTGGTTAACTGTGGATTTGCAACATCCAAAAGCACTTTGTGCCAATACAAAAAACAAACAAAAACAAGGTTTCAACCTAACATTGGTCTTCAAGCCACCAATGTGAGAGTCTGATGAAGCTCTATTTGGTTAAAATGTTACCTTTTACAGTAAGGTGACCCATACACATTCTCTTTGTATTAGATTATCCGGCATGTGCTCAAGTTTGGCTATCTGGTGCCAAGCAGGCAAGAACAATTTGTATTTCTAAATTTCCGTTCATCATGTGGTTAAGGTTTGTGGAAGTGTATTTTTCCAATTACTTTAAAGTATAGAGCTTGACTTACCTACAATAAGGCCAATCTCACAAGCTGGATCATCATATCCACAGGACATCATTGTCCCCACAGTGTCATTTACCAGAGCAACCACCATTAAGTCAGAGTTCTGCAAAACAAACAAAAAAAAAGCTCATCAGCATATACCTGCATTATATAGCAAAAAAAATAAAAAAAAATAAAAAAAAACAGGACCATAAACTGAAAAAATAAAAAATACACACCCCTTTTCGAATGGCAGCTTCCCGTAGAAGCCTAACAACATCCTCCCCTACACAGCCAGATGCACTGAATCCCTTTGTCCATGTAATCAGAATACCCTGCAAGCAAAAGAAAAAATTTTCCCCACAAGAAGTTATTTAGAGATATATTTATATTACAAAAAAAAGAGTTTGTGAAACAGAGCAATTTGATAGCTATACCTGGTCAAGGCTCGTCTGTCTACAGGGAAATGAGAAAGTGAAGCCCAAGGGTAGCCTCCTTCCTCTGAGATCATTTTCTTCTTGAAACTCTGTGATGCAATCAACTATGTGGTCGAAGAGCTGCAGAGATAAAAAGAATACATAGCAGTTAGGAGTTGGTGAGAAGAAATCCTAAAATTAGCTTTCTACAGAAACAAAACACACAAAAAAATACTGAGTTTTTAAGACGGACACGCAGCTGGAAATCAAGCAAGAGTCAGCTATTCACCTGCAGAAAGTTAAATCAACCTGTAAACCCTCCCAGTCCAGCTTGAAAAATGGCACTTTACCATGAATCTAGTCAACCATCCACCAACCCCTTCAAAATAAATAAATAAATAAAATAAAATATATAGTTTGTTTTGGAGTCCTTTAATTAAGGGATCGACAAATCCCAGTTCCAAATCTGCAGAAATTGTCGCTTGGCAATAACTAGTGTTTAGCTCTGCAATTTATTCAACCATCTTATCAATATAAATGAAATTAATATAAGCAAGATTATGGGGCAAATAACACACTTCAAAATGATCACAAGTTTCAAACTTGCTTTAGATATCAGATGCTTTAGCTACAATCAGAAAGTGAGGGTTTGGAAACAAGTAAATTCCAAAACGGGAACTTACAACTAAAAACCAAAACTTGGCTACAATACAATATTAAAGCGGCACTGTCACAGTCTGGGGACATTGCATAATTTACAAAGAACTCTGACTGCAACATTGCTACAGGTGGACCGGTGGCAGGGGAAGGGGGATTTACTTACCTGTACCTGTCCCTCGCGTCACCACGATTTTCTGGCCAGTCCTCTTCTGCTACGGAGGATCCTGCAAGTTAAAGCGAGTATCTCTGCAGCAGTCACTGGTGACCCCTGGAAGATTTACACTTTTAGATGATGGTGGCACTGCCCAGTTTCAAGAAGTGCCAGGCGTAGGAAATATACTGAGACAAAGGAGTCCCTACTTTGTCTCCGTATATCTTTTAATTGGGTGAGAATTTCAGTAAAATTCTAACACAGTCAGTATGAGCTTTATAATTAGCTTTATAATTAATGGAAGAAGTGTTCAGTTATGCCAAAGCATTATCTGTCTGTATCTGGCTTTGTCTCTCAGACAGGTATGTGGAACCTCTCAGTCTCATTTTTCAGTGTCTCTGCAGAAGGATTTATAAACCAGTGATTGCACGTGCAAACATGATCATACAGAATCTCACAAAAGTGAAAACACCCTGCACATTTTTGTAAATATTTTATCTTTTTATGTGACAACACTGAAGAAATGACACTCTGCTACAATGTAAAGTAGTAAGTGTACAGCCTGTATAACAGTAAATTTGCTGTCCTCTAAAAATAAAACACACACACACACAAAAAAAGAGGAATACACCCCTAAGTGGAAATGTCCAAATTGGGCCCAAAGTGTCAATATTTTGTGTGGCCACTATTATTTTACAGCACTGCCTTGACCCTCATGGACATTGAGTTCACCAGAGCTCTACAGGTTGCCACTGGAGTCCATGACATCATGGAGCTGGTGGATGTTAGAAACCTTGAGCTTCCCCTCCTTCCGTTTGAAGATGCCCCGCAGATGCTCAAAAGGGTTCTAGTTCTGGAGACATGCTTGGCCAGTTCATCACCTTTACCTTCAGCTTCTTTAGCAAGGCAATGGTCATCTTGGAGGCGTGTTTGGGGTCGTTATGTTGGAATACTACCCTGTGGCCCAGCCTTCGAAGGGAGGGTATCATGCTCTGCTTTAGTATGTCACAGTACATGTTGGCATTCATGGTTCCCTCAATGAACTGGAGCTCCCCAGTGCCAGCAGCACTCATGCATTCCCAAACCATGACACTTCCACCACCATGCTGGACTGTAGGCAAGACACATTTGTCTTTGTACTGCTCACCTGGTTGCTGCCACACATGCATGACACCATCTGAACCAAATAAGTTTTATCCATGTCCTTAGTCTGCATGTCTTCAGCAAACTGTTTGGGGACTTTCTTGTGCATCATCTTTAGTAGAGGCTTCCTTCTGGGATGACAGCCTTGCAGACCAATTTGATGCATTGTGTGGTGTATGGTCTGAGCACTAACAGGCTGACCCCCCACCCCTTCAACCTCTGCAGCAATGCTGGCAGCACTCATACATCTATTTCCCAAAGACAACCTCTGGATAGGACATGGATCACGTACACAACTTCTTTGGTCGACCATGGCGAGGTTTGTTCTGAGTGGATCCTGTCCTGGGAAACTACGGTTTGGTCTTGCCCACCATGCTGCACCTCAGTTTCAGGGTCTTGGCAATCTTCTTATAGCCTAGGCCAGGGATAGGCAACCTTCGGCACTCCAGAGGCTGTGGACTACATCCCCCATAATGCTCCTACACACATAATGCTGGCAAAGCATCATGGGAGGTGTAGTCCAAAACATCTGCAGTGCCGGAGGTTGCCTATGCCTGGCCTAGGCCATCTTTATGTAGAGCAACACTTTTTTTCAGATCTAGAGAGTTCTTTGCCATGGAGGTGCCATGTTTAACTTCCAGTGACCAGTATGGGAAAGTGTGAGAACACCAAATTTAATACACCAGCTCCCCATTTAAACCTGAGACCTTTTAACACCAACGAGTCACATGACACCGAGGAGGGAAAATGGCTAATTGGGCCCAATTTGGACATTTCCACTTAGGGGTATACTCACTTTTGTTGCCAACGGTCTAGGCATTAATGGCTGTGTGTTAAGTTAGTTTGAGGGGACAGCAAATTTACACTGTTATACAGGCTGTACACTTACTACTTTACATTGTAGGAAATTTCTTCAGTGTGGTCACATGAAAATATATATAATAAAATATTTACAAAAATGTAAAGGGAGTACCCCAATTAAATAGTCTCAAGTGGCGGGTTGTAGTTGTTGGAGAGTGCCTTTAAGTCCAGAAATCTATTGCATTCAAGCTAAAAATCAGGGGTTAAAAAAAAAAAATTTAAGTGATTACATTGAATCATAATATGAGGCTTGAGCTAAAACAAAGCAATATTTTATTTTAAGTACGTTGTACTAGCAGTACCTAGTAGTTATTTAAAAAGAGATTCAAAACCATATTTTTCAACATCACTGCAGTAACAGACCGTCATACTGCAAGTACTGGTTAATACGAAGCAAGAGTAAATAGTAAAAATAAATACGTGAATGTTATGTGTGAGCATATACCTCCACTCCGGTTCCTTGTATTACTTCCTGGGCCAAGGAGAAAGATTTGCTCACAATCTGCACACCACCTTCTTCTTTCTTCCCAACATGGACAAACAAAACCCGGAAGTTGGTTCCTCCTAAATCTAATGCTATGAAGTCTCCACGTTCTGGAAGAGAACATATGAAATAAATTTTTCTATATAAAAAAGGCAAAATAACAGACATTGTTTGGCTCCGGTGTCACTTTACCTGTTCCATTCGGAGTAGCTCTTACGTAAGTGGGGAGCATTTTTACAGAAGCAGTGGGCTGTGTCTGCTTCCGGAGACCAATGTCCATTTCCATCCTCATCCGGCCCTGTATTTCTTTTAACTTCTCAAGGGAGAGATTAAATGGTGCCAGGACTTCATTAATCCGAAGTCGCTGTGTGGCAAGTCTTTGAGCTACGGCAGTCACTACGGCAGTACCCTTCCCACTTCCATCCTCTGAGAGCAGAAATTTAACTTGACAACCTGGAGCCAAATCCTTCAAAGCCAGCTGAAGGTGTGCACTAAATCTAAAAAAGTTAAAATTAATTCAGAATAAATAAATAACTAGTGACCAGCAAAGCTGTGAAGGTAATTATCTTCCGAAAACAAGGGGATTAGCAATAATCTTTCACAGTATGTCAAGCAATATAAATGTGATAAGTGAAATGTAAGATGTGAAATTGTTCTGTTTATATTGGTCATAAGACTCAAGTATACATCTTGTGGATATCAAAAATAAAACAAGACTTCTTCATAGAACGGGTCATCAGTAACTGCATTGGCAAGAAAGATTAAATCAAGTCCCTAATGGACCATAATGGCATCAAAAAGAGGACAAGTGACTTTGAATATGTAGCAACCAGCGGAAAGGACCTGCAGCATAGAGACAGCAGAGATCATTAATGTAAGCTGAGAGTGTCTTACTTTGGATGCATCTTGTATACGGAACCATCCACACCAACTACAACACTACCCTTTGGGTCTTGGCGGTTTTGAAGTATACGGGTCGCTACTGCGGCCAGTCCAGCCGCACAAAGGCTGGCAGATCTCGCAGATACGGCACCACATACACACTGCACCATCAAACAATCCTGCTCACTTGGTTTCAGCCCTAGGAGAGAGAGTATTTGCCTAGCTGCATCCAAACCAGTGTGATCACTGCAAAAAAAAAAAAAAATTTTAAAAAAAATGAACAGACTAATTCTGATTTCTCTTATTTCAAAGCAGAGACTGGAATAAACAGGGCACTCACTCCTCTATTGCAGATAGATCTCGAGTCTGGAAACATCTCTTGGTGAGAAGTGCAGGAGAGGTCACACCATTAAACAGTAGTCCTTGACTGGCCAACTTAATAAGCACCATCCGTACAATTTCACCCATGTACATACCGCTGACCATTTTATCAAAACTGTATTGACAAAGAAACAAAAAGCTTAGAAGAAAAAAAAAAAAAAAAATGGATAAATAATAATAATAATGTCAATTTGATATCGATGGGTCCCCTTAAGTTAAGGCAGGCTCAGGTGTTACTCCTTGAGTAAAGGACCGATAAAGGGAGCACTCAGCAAAGATTCAGCATCAGTGAAAGTTCTTATTACACTTATATGGAACAGCAGGTAAACAAAATTCCATTCCCATTCCAAACTGAAAAACATACCCAAGCAAGAATGAATATTGAATTACCTTGTAATAAAGCGACTGACCTATTCACTAATCACTACTGCAGCATTTCAGAAGTTCTCACTTACTGTATCACACAATATATCAGAACTCATCTGCCTCCATTTACCATATACATAGCAATTCTGTTTTTATTTCGATCTGCAAATTACTGACTTTGCAATGGTATCGGTGCCATACAGCAGAACCAAAGTAGATTTTATGAAAATCAGGATCACTAGCGCTCAGCAGAAAGAAAAAAAATTAAATTTAAACTTGTTAAAAGAATATGCTAAATTAGATGACACATCTCTAGAGAAAAGAGGGGGAACCACCCCCCCACCTAAACTTAATATGGAATTTAATATAGATCTTTGTATGACAATATATTATTGCTTTACCCCCAAAACAATTAGTCTTGAGATGTTCTCTAATGTTATACGTGCATTTAACTATATTGAGAATATTTGCTGTAATTACCAAATAAAAATTACTGTGCACGGAGAAACTCTTTCTCCACAATGCAATTAGCACAAAAATAAAGTCCAGATATGGAGGCATGTTGCTAGTCAGTAACCAAGTGGCAGCAAAGTAATACATCGTTCAACGTTTCTTAAAGTATCCACTAAGTCTATAACAGCTTTAAAAGTGCAGATGGTATACAAGTTAAAAATTTGTATTTGCTAATTTTTTTGGCGCAAGACTAAAGTCATACCCTATGGTTTTGGGGAGTGCTGACTGCTATACTAAAGTCAGTAGTTAATGGCAAGACTTGAATAAAAATAAAAGGAGATTTGGCAGAAAGTACAACATTCTTCAGAAAAAAAAAAAAAAAGTATATATATATATAAATAAATAAATAAATAAATGTAGATTAACAGCTGCCCATGTATCTACATACTATGTGTGGTTTAATAAGAATTTAAACCTTTTTACACATTAAACAAATCTGAATAAACCTTTTTGCTTTCCCCCCCACCCCCCGTAACCACCCCTTCTCTTCTGTACCCAAACAAAAACAATAAAAATTGTCAAAAAAAAAACAAAACAAAAAAAACACCAGACTTTGAAAAGGTGAGCAAAACATCAAAAATGCTAATTGTTGGATAGAGTATTTAGAAACAAAGATTTAACCTTCTTGCTTTTATGTTTAGCAGTGTAAAACCATAACAGTCATGCAGGATTAGTGTATTAAAATCAGTGATCAAACACAGTGACTTGATGGACACTACTTTGTTTTTTAGTCTATATTATGTAAAAAAAAAAAAAAAATTATATATATATATATATATATATATATATATATATATATATATATATATATATATATATATATATATATATAAAATTCAACAAATACAAGAAAAGCAAAATAAATAATATAGTATAAATATTTTGTTTTGTGCAGGATTACACACAGCTTGCAATAGTTAACATTTTCCTTAAAGATGTCATAATTATAAGGATTATGGAAGTAGCAGAAAATGAAAATGCTCTCAAACTGCTTCCCCCCCCCACCCCTCCACCTCCATCTTCTTCATTTACACCCAGTAAATGGTTGCCACAAAATCTGAAAGCACAATTCTTTGTCTAAAGGGATTTCTGTAATCCAGTAACTGCCAGAGGGATCCTGCGGTTCAGAAACTACATATTAGCTGAAGATCAATGCTAGAGGCACCACCGGCCTTTCTCCAGCTCTAAACGTTCCAAAGGTCCAAGCCACGTGAAGCAAAAACAGTTTATTTTCATCTACAACTTATCCAATGGAGGATACCATGCCTGAAAGGAAGGCAATGCTGCATGCACAAAACAATGAATGATTACATGGCACCATATTTCAGGAAATGCTCATTTTGGGTGCATTGCTAACCAGCCGATTCAGAACATGGCACTTTAGCATTAACCCCTTGAAATACCTGATGCTAAACCTTTTCAGTGTATGTCACATGTCCCTGGTTTCAAGTGATCATGTGATAGCTTTCCACCTCAAATGGTTAGAAGATGACATGTCAAATCACCTATACCGAACAATGAGAGAACACAAGCTATAGCAGAAAAAAAACTATATCCATTTAATGAATATAGCCCAGCAGCAACAACTGCAAATTACTCCATGAATTGCAGCGTCTTACAATGTCTCTGTAATTCTCCAGGCTTCTTGTAAAAAGAATAAAAATACAAAGACACTCGGCAGTAACAGAACATATAAGAAAGTATTATTGGTTACAAAAAGGAAAGAAAAAACAATTCAGTGTTGTTCCCACCTACCATTGTTTTCCATGTGTTATTGAAGTAATATCCACTTGATGATCAAATTCTGTCTGAATGTCACTTAACTCGCCATCATCTCCAAGTGCGCCCCACTCAACATTAATGCACATTTTACCTTCATCCCCCTCTACAGACTCTATGTTCCCAATTTCTTCCATGTAACACACATTGCTTCCAGTTCCTAAAGGACACATGCAGGCACATTAGGAAATAAAACATATTGTGGTCTTCACCAAAGAACCAGAACTATTGTTTTTGGGGTCGTCCCCCCCCAGCAAGTAAACACTATTAATGCACATACAAACCAAAAATTAAAAGAACTCCCTATCACCTCTCCCCTCCCCCCCAAAAACAAACAATCAACGTACTGCTCTCTAGTGTCAATGAGACCGGGTAACATGCACAGCCATCAATAATCCTGTTCAAAGCCACAGGAAGTTAAAGAGTTAATCCCACATGGGGACTGATCTTATGCATCTAGTCTGTGAGTTACTCTTTAATCATTCAATACGGCCTTCACGAAGAATCACTCTTTGGTGTTGCACAAACATGAGTTCACAAGAAAGGAAAACTATGAATTTTTATTCAAATGGCTCCCTCAAAATGACATTATTACAGGTTTTAGAAATACTTTCGTTTGGATAGATAGAGAGAGATAGATATACATACATACATACATACACACACACACATAAAGACAAACTGGAAAGAAAATAAATACCCTTTTAAAAATTAATCACCAAAACACAAGTGTGGCACATATACACGTTAAATCCTTACAGGTCATTTCACACTCACCTACAATAAGGCCAACTTCACAACTGTGGTCTTGGTACCCACAGCTCATCATTGTCCCAACAGTGTCATTAACTATGGCAACAACATCAACTTTATAATCCTGGGAGGTGGTGGAAGTAAAAATAAATAAATTAAAAATATATATATTTTTTTTTAAGAAGTGCATGACTAAGATTCACAGGTGCAAACATACTACTTCACAATACCCAACAGATGTAGTCTGAGCTTTCACAAGTTAACCCAATACTCTAAGGGTATTCAAACTAAAACTCTCCACCGTACGCTACCCAAAAGGTTATCACTGGCAGACAATGTAACATACACGATTCCTCCTTTCTCCCATTTAGACACTCACCCCTCGCCTATGAATGGCATCTTTCAGCAGCTGTACCACATCCTTTCCTTCTACTCCTGAGCAGTGGAATCCTTTGGTCCACGAGATCAAAACACTCTGTAGAGACAGATGTCCATGCATGTAACAAGGCACCAATGTTGCTTTTTATCATATCTTTAGAAAAGCAAAATGAAAGTGATACCAAGCACTAGATTTGTGCACAGATCCCTTTCAACTGCGGTGAACGCATGAGATGGCTGTTAATCTATTGTCAAGTTGATTTATTGGTCTCTGAGGTTCAGGATACTTGTTTTCAAGTTTACTTTTCAAACTTGTCTTAAAACTACTAGCCATTACTAGCCATATACAACACAAACGGAATAGGTTCTTACCTTGTCCAACTTACTTTGCACACAAGGAAAAGAGAAAGTGAAGCCCAAGGGCAAGATCGTTTTCTTGAGGTTTCGTTGATGAAGGAAATGGCCAAGACACTCAGCAACATGGTCAAAAAGCTACAGAAACGTTGCACAGAACAGACATTGTCAGCATATAAACATGTTGCAGTTTAATTTTTTATGTTAGGAATTGTAGAGACTTGACAAAAGGGATTGCAAAGTTTAGGTGAAAAAAAAATTTAAAATAAACCAACCATTGAAATATATGTAACCAAATACGATTGAATGAGGATTATGAGAAACAGAAATAGAGATTATTTTTCCAGTTTGGTTATCAGCCAATAATTTGTATTTCCCTGTCAATTCATGGCCCGCTAAATAAAACCTATATTCACAAAGATAAGCCAACTTCTACAGTTACTATGATAAATGCCTGAAGCAATTGTCACTTTTCAGTATTTTAAAAAGATACAATCTTTATGGAATATGAATTCTAGTCTTATTAGGGTTTCACTGAAATTCCAATGCAATCCAGAGATAACCATAAGAGACGTAATGACTACTTTGTCTTATGGTAAATCTGAGGTTGACAAGAGACAGAGCTCCATGGTCACCTTTTTCCCCTTAATTTCAGCAGCCATCACAATTGACCGCTGTGGGATTCAGATATAGATCTATGGAGCCTCCACGGAAAACCTACATGTACCCTTGAGTATCCATAAGAGTATGGTAAAGATGCAGCTCCTGGCAGGTGAAACCAGGAGTTGAAGAGCATGCGTATAGTGAAGATGGTGGTGGCAGCGAGGGACAACTATCTCCACCTGCAACCCGTTGCCGCCGATCATCACTCAAGATGTTACTTTACGGGATCACTGCAAAATGACCTCTGGTAGGGACAGACCCGCTTTAAATATGTCACTAATTGTTGCTCAAATATCAGTACTAACTAGTGCTTAAATGGCCACATCTTATGCTGAGCATACATAACATGCTCATCATAAAATAAAAAAATACTGTTATTTCAAACAGTTGTCTGGGCTCTTGAGACTAGTGAGCAATCTGTGATGAGCAACTCATAGCAGTTTATTTCTAATGTGATACAGGCTGCACTGAAAGCAACCTTTTTGCTCACATCATTTAAAAAAAAAAAATTTAAAAACGAAAAACTTCAAAGAGTCCCACTCAACAATCCACTGCATGTATGGAGAATGGAAGCCAACTGTACAGCAGTTCCATGTATGTATGAGACAAGTGGCCATGACAAGCACCATTCCTGAAACACGCATGGTAATGATCACAAACCCACACTGCAACTTCTATTAATACATTAATCTAATCTCCTACATGTTTTTCAGGAATCAAATTACTCACAGCCATATTTGCTGCAATCTGTACTGCTTCCAGTAGAAACCTTAGTGCTTTGCAAAATATCTCAAAAGCTTGTATAAATGTGTATAGCAGGAGTATTTGGAACATGTAGCCGAATTCAACTTTGAGTATATCTTATCAAAGAGACCCCAAGATAACAAAATAGGATAAGACAGGGTCTTCTAGAATCTACCTGTTGTCCTGTCCCAATCATTATTTCTTCGGGAATGGCATATATTTCGCTCTGCATCTCTGCTCTGTGACAGCTCTCCAACTTAACTTTAAGAATTCGAAACTTGCCTCCTCCTAGGTCCAGCACCAAGAATTCACCACTTTCTGCAGAAAAATAAGGAAACATAAGGATATAAAAACTAAACTTGTGTATGTGAAAGTTTATTTTAACTGTTTCATCTGAAAAAAAAAGAAAAGAAGTTTTAGGACCGCCGTAAGAGGCGTGAAAATGGAGCAGAGTACTGAAAAATATATACGTAATATGCATATAAATATTATGTACATATTTCGCAGCAGTACACTAATCAGAGCATTTTCCTACCAGTTGGTTACAGATAAAGAAAAACTAACCAATAGAGGGGAAAAACAATTCTATTTTAGGTTAAAACTACTTGTGAAGAAACTACTTTTTGTGTTTGGTAATTTTTTTTTTCTTCGTTCGGTAGATAAAACTACCGAACACCTACCACCCCATGGCTCATTAACTACAAAGAAAACCGCAGATTAAGTGATCTCCCTGTGTGGCTCCCGTTCGTATAGCCAAACGCCACTTGCGGGAGAAAACGGTGGCCATCTTGTCGCACGAAAAGGGGCAGCGGGACTTGTTCGTTGAGTGTCTGGAACTAAAAATCGAACACTCTACTTCCCGAACACGGGTAAATTTCGCGAATGCCTGCTTCTTCTCGCTGACCAGCCAGGGGAGCGCTATTCGGTAGGTTTGTTCCCACGACCTTTGGGAACAAACGCTACCCACGAGCCAGGGGAACCGTTCGTGGATTTGTTCGGTTTCTATAAAAAGTAGTGTACTAGCGCTAATATTTTATAATAGAATTTATACAGTAATATACCTTAATATTTAATATATAAGCTGCTATACCACCGTGATCTTATCTCTTAGTATCACAATCCAAAAATAGTCTAATGGTGAAGCGCTAGAACAATGGAAACTGTGCTTAATAGTACCATAGGACACAGTGAATAAAAATATATACCTTTAAAAAGGGTTTACTACTGGGGGGGGGCGTGGCCTGGAGCTCAACAGAAGCAGCCATGCTACCAAGGCCTAAAAACTCAGCGGAACGAACACCCGACAGCAACAAACTTTATAAAAACATACCTAGAAGATGTCACAGCAGAAAAGCAGGCGACAGGCGGACAGAAGTGACAAAAAGAGCTTCTTCAATGTCCAAAACGCCCAAACCAAACCCGCAACACCGCTAGAAGAGGCGCAAGACGACGCCGAGGAAGAAACCAGAAAGAACTCTGCACACTGAAGCGCCAGTGACCCAGGAGATCCTGCAACGTATGCTAGACCATATGCACGACAGATTACAGCACACATTTTAAACAGCCCTGAAAGAAATCAGAGCAGATATCCAGGATCTGGGTACAAGAACCTCAACACTAGAGGATAAAAAGGCGTACGGGGATCTGCAAACAGATATGGAAGGGATACAGGACATCCCTGAACACAGGCTATCAAACAGTACTTAAATGAGATCCTACTGCCCTAGCTCACACCTCTCCAGCAACACGAACTCTCATCCATTCAAAACCACCCTAATACCGTACTTAACAAAAGCATATAACGAGGCCACCCAACATCAATGCTTACGTCAGGAAACACTTTTAGCCCACATCATAACACTCCCCAAGCCGGGAAAACCACCCATCTGCCCCCAAAACTTTCACCGTATCTCTCTGTTAAACACGGATGCCAAATTGTATGCTAAAATATATGCCCAACGATTAGGACATATGCTCCCACACATTATTCATTCAGACCAAGCTGGCTTCAAAGGCAGACAAAGGCAGAAAGGCAGGACGCGTTTCGCTAGTGGCTTCCTCAGCTGGGTAAAAAAAAAAAGGAGGGGTCTGTCAGCTCTGCTTTGACTTCTTACTGCTGTATATACCCCTCCTCCGCTCCAAATCATAAGAAATATATAGCTCACATATTTTTACTCGCACTGTGAGCTATACACCTAAGTGCACTGGTCGCATCCTGAAAATTGACAGAATACTCAGAAAACTGACCGCAAAGAAGGAAAAGGGTTGCCTCAACGGACCCGAAGGCACATATACTTGAGCTAAGTGTTTAGCTCAATAAATTTGTGAGGGTTTACTTGGCATAGCACTTTATACAGCAACTTTTTGCACAGTCTGCAATATATGTATTTTTAGGTTTACTTTTTAAAAGGGACACTATTCATGCACCAAGATTCCAAAATAGTGAACCCTTTTAAAGTATATGCTTTTAATTCACTGTGTCCTATGGTACCATTAGGCACAATTTCCATTGTTATATTAGCACTTCACCTTTAGACGGTTTTTCGTTTTTTAAATTTCCCGAAAGAGACCGACCGTACATCCTAATTTCATGGACCTCTTTCTGAGCAGGAGCCTCAAGTGCGGTCTGTCAAATTAAGACTTCCATGGAACTCCAGAACCAATCTGGGTGATTTTTTAATATCTTGGTCCCCCAGATGAGGGCTATCAGGGGATATGACTTTTGTGGGGTTTCCATGGGGTTTGGGGGTTTTGTGGAAATGTGTGTTTGTGTTTGGAGATAATGGAGTTTAGTATAGTGCCTGACTCAATTATCTCCCAGGCAGAGGGGAAGGATTATGTTATTTTATGTGGGAGTATCCTGGAACTGAGAGTCAATGTAACTGCAGAATGTACTTTGTCCTTGTCCCCTCTGAGGTCCAGTGGGGAATGCACCTGTAATGTGTCACAATAAACCCTGTACATTTGTAACTGCATATAAACTGGCCAGTTGGCCTGAATAAACCATTCATCTAATCTAGGCTGATGTTTGGGTATTCGTCTGATTGCTTGGTGAATTTACTTGAATGCTGTATTTCGTCTGGAGAACGTTCGAATCAACACCCGAACGGCGAGCTATAATGACTCAGCCTCTACCAGTTTGGGAGGAAAAGAACCAGCGGGTATTTGATATACCAGCGTTCGTTACACTATTGCTCTATGTGACCTCAATGGGTCACTTCTCACTTGATCTGTGAATAAAATCAGCGGTCGTGACCGTCTCTCCTAATCGCTTTTTCATGCTGCCCCCACCCACCATACTACCAAATGGGGAGGGGAATCACAAATATGCAGAAAATGAAATGTTTTATGGATTTACCTTCTAGCATTTTACAAAACAAAGGAAGATAATTTACTTCCTCCCACTATAACTGTAATTCAGAGAGCATGAAAGGGTTTGTTCAACAGTAGTCATATAGGAAAACGTTCAATAAACATTCCAATACATGCACTCCATAGTAAAACCCAAGGCTATCCTTTCAAACTACTGATTGCCGGTAATCAAACTGAAGCCCAGGGCAGCTTTGCATATTGAATACACAAATGTGATGCTACATAAAATGTATTTGGCATAAACACATGATTCGAGGACTGCATTTATCAAATAATAAATGATTATTCATTTTTATCTCTTGGTTAAAATATGGCAATGGAGTTAAAGTAGAATTACATTTATCTTATTCAGTGCCAGACTTCTTATTTAAAGCTCCTCATTCACATCTGCTTTCAAAACTTCTAGAGGAAGCACAGTCTGCCACTGGGGGGCAGGGGTGACGCTGGTTGGCTTAAATCTGACTGGTCTAAGCCAATCTTTAATTTCCCTTTTGAAGAAAAATGTATGGAGCTGCACTCACTCCCATTAGTAAAATCTTTAGTTTCTCATCCATGAATGAAAAAAAAAAAAAAAATGTAAGTACCTTTTGTTGTTATGGTGCCCAGTGTTCCTTTAAATGATCCTTTAAGTGATAGCTTCCATAGAGAATCATGAGCATTTACAAACCCACAACTTTGTTAATTTATTTTATTTTTGCTGTGCATAGTGATACAGTCATGTCATGCCACAACATCAGGTGACAAGGACATCAGAATACATAGCTTACATTTGGTATGGCATTTAGAAAGAACATACACAATTTTTTGTTATAATGACAGACTAATAAACATGCTAAGAAAACATATCTAAAGCTGGCTTGTAGAAGAATATATAGAAACAGCAGGTCATTTTTTTAGTGAGTAAGTGGCTACTGGTCATTTCTTGTGAAAATTGACAGCAGAAGTAGCCATGAAAGACCACAGGTAGAGGATTAACTATTGCTAAATTGAGGCGTGAAAGATTAGCGAAAGTCAGCTAGCGTGGTTTACCCACGAAGAAGTTTAGACTGGCACAGGGTAAATATGGGGAGGCATATATGCTGAAACATGAAAGATAGCTAGAGGGGGAGAATTTGCAGGTCTAAGGCAAGAGTGAAGCGTACAGAGCCAGGTTTACAATATTAATTACAAGTGCAAAAAATTGCCATTAAACTGTATCACGGAGAGGGGGTTCACGTCACTAGTGATGTCATTGTGTGCAGTGTTATTAGATAACGCCGCCTTGTAGCGGTCGGCATCCTTCCTAATGATGGACCCGGCCACTGTATTAGGAGCTTCACGGAGGGAGAGGTGCTGGAGGCAAGGTGAGTAACCTCTGCCTCCTTTAGTGTGACCGCACCGATCAGAGGTGGTCACATCGTGGTGCCGATCGGGCACTGCAATAGTGTGACCGCACCGATCTGGTGCGGTCACATGGAGGTGCTGATTGGGCACCGTGACAGCCCCAGACTTGATGGATCCTGGTACAAAAAAGGCATAATAGTGCCAACATTCCATCGGTGGCACTCCAACGGTAGTCTTGAGTTTCCCGAAAGTCACAATGTTTGCAGGAAGGTGGGAGCATCAACCATAGATGAGATGGTATAGGTGTTGTCGTTCCGGTCCACCAGCAGCCACTGGGTTCCCCATTTGTAGGAGATGTCTTTATCCCTCAATAATGTAATCAGCGAGCAGAATGTTTGTCGCCACAGAACTGTTGCCTGGAGAAGTCCTTGAAGAATGTAAGGTGAAACAAGGTGGGGGAGTTCCCAGAAGCCCCCATAAACATTGCCTTATTGGCATTGTTCATATACTTAGCCAACACCTCTCTGGGAGCCTCCTGTGGTGTCCTTGGTGCCTTTGACATTCTGAAATAACTGTCCAGGGATAGTAGCGTAGGCACTAAAAATTTAGCAAAAAGTTAGCGGAGATAGTGTGAAAGCTCTCCATCATTAACGCTCTCTGGCATTACCCTGATGTGGATATTTCAGATTCTGGCCCTATCTTCCCGATCGGTTACTCGGGCCGTCAGCGTGGTTTTTCTGCATCGTGAGCAGGGCAGAATCTGTGGCCGCTTGAGCCACTTTGGTAAACCCAGCGTCTTCCTCCACGGCGGCTCTGCGCCCTTTAAGGGTTGGCACCTCCTCCCTGATCATTGCTGTATCTTCTTGGAAAATTGCCTAAAAGTTCTTTAAGAGAGCTTTGATGTCAGCTTTGGTAAATGTGGCTTCATCCCCGAGGGTGAGAGGGTGGGGTGGTCTGACTTGTTTTCTCGTTGGAGCTGGCAGGTCCTTCTCCAGACTGTAATTCTCTGAGAACTCAGACGCCATTGCGCGCCATCTTGGATGGAGTAGGCCTCTGAGTCAGTACAGTGCTCCTATATCGCCCGACCCAGAGCATGGCTGATGTTTTCTAATTTTTTTCACCACATGTTATACAAGCAAGGATCTGTCACTGTGTGTCCCAGGAGAGAGTGCCGTCTAGAAAGGTATTTGCTAGGCAAACCCAGCTCAAGGCACACACGTCTGTCTCCGGTGGGCGCTAGCTACGCCCCCCCATAACTTTGTTATTTTGATCTAAATTGTACAATTTAGTTTTCATTTCACTCTTGTGTTTAGCTCACTCCATCACACTTATTCTGTAAGAGGAAGTAAAAAACATTGCTAATTCGCATTACAGGACCTTCCTCATTCCTATATTTATTGCATCCCATGCTCTTTCACAGTTTCCTTGACACTCTAAAACCACATTAACTTAAAGAGACACTGTAACTGCTTCATTGCAATGAAGTGGTTATAGTGTCTGGAAGCCCCTGGTGCTGTCATTTCATTTAGCGTTAAATTGTATTTAATATTTTAAAGCGACACGAGAGTTTCCACCAACTCATCGTCCTGTGCTGCTTGGGCTAATGAGGAGTATTAGCCTGAGCAGGAATGGGATTGGCTGAAAGTGTCAGCTGACTATGTTCAGCCTATCACAAGGAAGTGTGTAATCTCTGCCTTAGCCTCACCTCCTGTACAGGCTTTGCTGTGGGTGGCCAGAGATCCTTATTTAGTGTTAGAGAAAAATTTAAAATGGTTTAGGGGACTCCAGGCACTATAACCAATTAAATGAGATGAAGCAGTTATAATGCCTACTGCTTACCTTTAACCATTTCCCTGCTTAATGAGGTTAAAGGGACACTATAGTCACCTGAACAACTTTGGTTTAATGAAGCAGTTTTGGTGTATAGAACATGCCCCTGCAGCCTCACTACTCAATCCTCTGCCATTTAGGAGTTAAATCCCTTTGTTTATGAACCCTAGTCACACCTCCCTGCATGTGACTTGCACAGCCTTCCATAAACACTTCCTGTAAAGAGCCCTATTTAGACTTTCTTTATTGCAAGTTCTGTTTAATTAAGATTTTCTTATCCCCTGCTATGTTAATAGCTTGCTAGACCCTGCAAGAGCCTCCTGTATATGATTAAAGTTCAATTTAGAGATTGAGATACAATTATTTAAGGTAAATTACATCTGTTTGAAAGTGAAACCAGTTTTTTTTTCATGCAGGCTCTGTCAATCATAGCCAGGGGAGGTGTGGCTAGGGCTGCATAAACAGAAACAAAGTGATTTAACTCCTAAATGACAGTGAATTGAGCAGTGAAATTGCAGGGGAATGATCTATACACTAAAACTGCTTTATTTAGCTAAAGTAAGTTAGGTGACTATAGTGTTTCTTTAATTATTAGATTATACAGATTAACCCAGTGCCTCAGTGACATTCACCTGCCAGAGTTTAACATTTAACCAATTAGCATGCAGTTTTGTTGCAAGATGTTTAAGGGAAGCATTACCAAGAAACCTTTTCTAATTGCCATAACATTATGTGCAAATACTGAGAAATTCTAAATATAATTGAACTCATTAATCAGAATGTCCTAAACACTGCTAAGTCAGAATGGTTCAACATTGTACTAAAATCCCAAAATAGCATAAATTCTATCAGGGTTTACAAACGTTCTCACTTGTAGGACCCAAATATTCCAGAATATAATAATTTCCCCCAATATGGTCTGTGTATGCTTACTATAGTATAAAAACACTATGCTCGTCTCATTTATGGGATCACTAGGCATCCTTATTGGGGAACCTGCTCCAGAGCAGAACTGAAAAAGTGTGTCTCTCACGCAACACATGAATACTAAATGTTGCGAGGCAGAACTTTTCATGTGCTCTCCAACAGTAAGTAATATGCATCTAGAAAAGCATTGAATATCTGGCAACTCTGTTCTTATGCACAACTTAAACATTTAGTATTTGATTTGTCATGTTATTTTTTTGGTTGTTTACCAACTGCATAGGGAAGCAGTCGGAGAAAAGTTGCCAGTTTCTAAATTAACGATCATAAAATATCAATGGTAATAAGTAAATAAGGGTTTATTCATGAAAGCATTCATTGAGGAAAAAAAAAATTTGGAAAAAGGTTGCACAACTATGCTACAGCTATATTTTCTCATATTTAAGAGTTCAGTGAATTAAATGTGTTGTGCTATATTGTGCTGCTATCCAGTGATCTACATTGCTCACAGTCTTCTCCCTTTAAATAGATATGTCATCGATAAATATGCCTAAACAATTTAATCTATACCATGCACTACTGAATTCAGCTAGAGCTCTATATAGAGTCAACCATTTACTTACCTGGGCTGTTCAAAGGATTGAGATCAAGCATCCCAGAATGCAATGCAAATGGATCTTTATAGAGCTGAACCACAAGCATTATGGGAAATGTGTATGCTAATCCAGTCACCCATACACGTCAGTTGCTATTTTAAAAGAACACGCTAAGCACCGAAACCACTTCATCTTAATGAAGTGATTTTGGTTCAATAAAGTTTTCCTTTTTTTCTGACAATGTAAAACATTGCTGCTTCAGAGAAACAGAAATTATTACATTTTGCCTAAACCATATCTCTAGAGCAGTGTTTACCAATTCTTTCTAAAAACACCTTAGACACAACTGGGTAACCCCTAAATCCTGGACTGGTAGGGTGGGGGGCCATGAGGACTGGTTTGGGCAACACTGCTCTAGTGGCTGTCAGACGTTACTGCTTCTCATTGAGAAGTACTGGATTGGTGGAATACAGCGATTGCTGTGTTTACGCCACAAGTTCACAATTGTTTTTTAAAGGGAAGCATTGGATTGGAATAGATCAGTATTGAGTATCGTGGTAAGGACCCTGAATGTAAAACTGTAAAAGAACATATCTAACTTCAAAAGTCAAATAATGTTAGAGTTTTTGAAAATTATAGATAATTATTTGGGGCAGATTTCTAGCTCTTTTTTAAATAACAAACTGTTTGCTAAATAAGTATTGTCTTTATGCCCTTCCCTCCTAACCTGCAGGGTTTCCCTTTTTGCTTCAATAATATCATTATATGGGGTGTCTTCACTTCGGGTTCTGTGAGTTGCAGTCCATCTTTTAGTATCCAACAGTAGAATGATGATACTTAAAGGGACACTATAGTCACCCAGACCACTTCAGCTCAATGAAGTGGTCTGGGTGCAATGTCCCTCAGGTTTTAACCCTTCAGATGCAAATATAGCAGTTTTCAGAGAAACTGCTATGTTTACATTTGGGGTTAAGCCAGCCTCTAGTGGCTGCCTTCAGCGCCACGGGAGGGGGACCCTGAGGGTGGGGGTACCCTCAGGGCACCATAGTGTTAGGAAAATTGCTATGTTTTCCTGACACTATAGTGATCCTTTAACTACATCTCCCAGAATTCCCTGCTATGTCCGCAATGTTCTGCTGGGCCTAGCTCCCTACAGAGGCTACACAACTGGGAGATTTGCAGCAAAAGCAGGAACTTCAAATCTTTTTTCTATTACTTATTTTTTGCATTTATCATCTGTATAAAGTAAACTATATATCTAGTAGCAGCACTTGAGTTAAAAAAAATATATATTTTTAGATACCATTTTTGCACATTACAAAGTAAGGATGCTTAGAACGTTGTGTAGGGCGCAAGAGTTAAAAAAAAAAAAAAAAAAACTATGCTACTGGCATTTTTCAATAGTATATAGAATAACAAGAGAAAAAGAAGATAATTATAGAAAGTTACAAAAATGTTGTTTAATCGTGTGCACTAAAAACAGGGTTGAAACCTTACTTGCCATGACCCTGATGAATTCCTTTATATGGAAAGCACCCCAGAGAAAGGCACTGTGTTAGGATTGCATGAATGAGTAGTGACTTGCAAAGGGAAAGCAGCAGTCCACGAGGGATCATATTTTTCCACAAAAATACACAATTTGACTCTTTTTCTACATTACGTGCAGTTGACTGCACAATGCAGTTGATCAGAAAAGACAGATTCAGATAGAAATATGTTTAGTAAAAGGCTCTCTTTTTCGACAGAGTAAGATTTTTAATAGGTTATCCTAGCAAATTTCCTTCATTTAACCCTCTCCTGTCTAAAAATGGCCACCTTAAAGACACACTATAGTCATCCAGACCACTTCATCTCATTGAAGTGGTCCAAGTACAGTGTCCTTGTTCCACATAGTCCTGCAATGTAAATCATTTCAGTTTTTGAGAAACTGCAATAATTACTTTGCAGGACTAAGACAGCCTCTAGTGGCTGTCAATCAGACCAATTCAATCAGACAGCCACTAGAGGCACGTCCTGGATACATGAGGACATTCAGCTTCAGTAAAATCCCAGCAGGAAAGCAATGAAGTAATGCTTTCCTATGGGGAGGGCCTAATGTGTTTGCCGCGGGGTGCCTTTATTAACCTGCGGGGCAGATTTGTATTCCTAACTATAGAATCTCTTTAACATTCGACATGGATACTTACAGCTCTTAACCCTTTCCACACAAAAACACTTTTTGTTTAAAAGGTATTAGCATAACTTTCTTGGAAACGCTGGGTGCACAGCAAGCGCATAAATGTGTAATAAAACATCAATTTTGTGCATGGATTGCTTTTCAGACAAACTTAAAATATATATATAAATAAAGACAATTTTAATTTGTCATTCATTTGTTCATCTTTATAGAATTGATGGTATGAAAAGCTTTTAACAGTATGCAATTGCAACATTTCACAAAGTGTCTCAAATGTTAGTATATAAGCAGAAATACAAAATGGTGGAACATTAGGTTCCAAAAACTGGTAAATGTTGGATACAGCATAAAATATACAATCAAATAGTGTATGGGGATAGCTAAGGGAGGGCTACGACTAAAATCAGTAAATGTGTATCTAATCAGCCTTTATTGAGTTGTACCTCAGATACACTAACTGAAATAGACAAAATAAAAAATAGCAGATAAGGGGTAAGGAATCTCAGAGAACAGTGCTAATGATGGAAACTGGCTCTAATATTACAGGAAGTAATCATAAGGTCAGAGGCAACAAGGTACTAGTGCTGTATGTATCTCCACTTTTACACCCTTACTAAAAATGTAAATAAAAGGTTACTATGACCCAAAGGAGAATATAAATAGTGACAGCAGGTTAATACATCGGCTGTTCTAAGGAAAGCAACAGCCTACTACAGTGATGGCGAACCTTTTTGAGCCCGAGTGCCCAAACCGCAATACATGCCAACTTTTTTTCTCCTTAAAGTGCCAACACGGCAATTAAACCCAAATACTGAGGTTTAAGTTTAGAAAAAACAACTCGTACTGTTGTCCGAACTAATAACTTTTGTTTTAAAAGAACACAGAGAGTTCAATGATACAAATTTTAAATAATGATATAAATAGATAAAATTAAGCTTATATTTATTAGTATCTCCAACAAATGCAATACATACACACACAGACTGCTGAATACATACACACAGTCTGCTGAATACACACACACACACAAGACTGCTGAATACAGAGACTGATGAATACACACACACAGTCTGCTGAATACACATACAGACAGACTGCTGAGTACACACACACACAGAGAGACTGCTGAGTACACACACACACAGACTGCTGAGTACACACACACACAGACTGCTGAATACACGCACACACACACAGACTGCTGAATACATGCACACACACACACACTGCTGAATACACACATACTGCATTGAGGTGGGGGGTGCTTGTGTGGGGGGTGCATGTGTGTGGGGGTGTGTGTGTGAGGGTTGTATGTGAGGGGTGCTGTGTGTATGTGAGGGGTGCTGTGTGTGTGTGGGGTGCTGTGTGTGTGTGTGGGGTGCTGTGTGTGTGTGTGTGTGTGTGTGTGTGTGTGCTGTATGTGTAAGGGCTGCGCGGGGGGTAGGGGTAAATTGGGGGTAGGGGTACCGCCGGGGAGTGGTAGGGGTACCGTGTGTGGGGGCAGGGGTACTGCTGTGGGGTGGTAGGGTACCCTGCTGGGGGGTAGGGGGTACTGCTGGGGGGTAGGTACCGCTGGGAGGGTAGGGGGTACCTGTGTGTGTGGGGGGTAGGGGTACCTGCTGTGGGGTAGGGGTACTGCTGGGGGTTAGGGGGTACCTCGTGTGTGGGGGGTAGGGGGTAATGTGTGTGGGTGGGGGGTAGGGCTACTGCTGGGGGTAGGGGTACTGCTGGGGGGTAGGGGTACTGCTGGGGGAGGGTAGGGCAACGTTAGGGGGATAGGGGTGCTGGGGGGTAGGGCTACCGCTGGGGGTAGGGTACCGCTGGGGGATAGGGGTGCTGGGGGTAGGGCACTGCTGGGGGTAGTGGTACTGCTGGGGGGATAGGGCACTGCTGGGGGTAGGGGGCACTGCTGGGAGGGTAGGGGTACTGGCTGGGGAGGTGCTGGGGGTAGGGGTACTGCTGGGGGGTAGGGGTACTGCTGGGGGGATAGGGGTGCTGAGGGGTAGGGCTACTTCTGGGGGGGTAGGGGTACTGCTGGGGGGATAGGGGTGCTGGGGGGTAGGGCTACTTCTGGGGGGGTAAGGGTGCTGTGTGTCAGTATACCCCCCCTCCCTCCTTCTTACCTTTAATGAAGTAGGGGGGGGGACACACAGCCATCCCTGGTGGTCCGGTGGTGGTAAGCACTGCAGGGGGAGGGATCTATGATGCAGCTCCCCTGTCCTCCTGCGCAATGCTGTGTGGAGCGTTGCCATGGTAACGCGCGGCAACGCTCCACACAGCATCGCGCGGGAGGACAGGGGAGCTGCATCACAGATCTCTCCCCCTGCCTCCCGACCCGGAAGCAGAGTAGGTGCCTGCCGTTTTGGGCAGGCAGGTGCCTACTCTGCATTGATGGCGAACCTGTGGCCGCGTGCCCACAGGACAGGACACATCACTGGCCTACTACCACAGGACAGGAAATGAATACAAGCAATACAGCATATTACCTCAGTTGCTCTGCTAAGCCAGCAACTTACTAATGCCAAAGAACCGTCCCCCTTACAGAGCAGCTACCCAAATGACACTAATAATATATTATATACAATTATCTACAAAATCAAATGTGCATAGTGCAAAGTAAAAATGAGAAAAAGGAAAGAAAAGCAAGTGAGCCCGACAGCCGTTTCGGTGCTAGATGCACCTTTGTCCGGGGACAAAATAAGCAGAAATATCACTTTTATTACATACAGCAGCAGATATGACAAAAATATATTACCCACTTCACTACCTGGCACTTTATGATTGAAAAAGTATTAGCATAACATTTATTTGAAGCAAAGGATTCACAGCCAGCATATAAACATATCATAACACAGTAAATTTGTGTATAGATTAAACTTAAAAATTTAAAGTATGTACATTTACACAATCGTTATATTTCACTCATTCGTTCATCCTTTATAAAAAAAATTTTGGCAAAATTAAAAGCTTTATGGAACACAGTAAAGGAGGATACTGTTTTAAAAAGAAGAAAAACTACCACAACAAGAGGACATAGTCTTAAATTAGAGGGGCGAAGGTTTAAAAATAATTTCAGAAAGTATTCCTTTACAGAGAGGGTAGTGGATGCATGGAATAGCCTTCCAGTTCCAGCTGATTGGCAGAGGTTAACACAGTGAGGGAGTTAAAGCATGCGTGGGATGGACATAAGGCTATCCTAACTATAAGATAAGGCCAGGGACTAATGAAAGTATTTAGAAAATTAGGCAGACTAGATGGGCCGAATGGTTCTTATCTGCCGTTACATTCTATGTTTCTATGTTTGGAAAGTATACAGTGTCCTTTATCTTGCAATACTTCACACAGGGTTTACAATGTTCATATATAAGCAAAAATTACTTTTTTTTTTGCATACAGTAAGTATGGCAAAATTATATTTTAAAAAATTCTCAAATACCGTGTATATAGGTAATTGTAAGGACACCGAAGGCATTATTAACAGTGCAGACTACTTAATTAAAATTAATTGCAACAGAATGTAAACATGTCTGCATTTGAGCCTAATGCCCGCTTACTGAAAATACAGTTAAATCATATATTTATCTAAAATAAAGGTACTTAAAACTGCTATAGCAATCTTTAGCTAACTTTGGATTTTAGGGATTTTATTTCTAAACGGCAGAGAGTTTAGTAGTGAGATTGCAGGTGAATGAGCTATACACCAAAACTGTTTAATTTTGCTTAAGTTGTTTTGGTTCTTAGAGTATCCCTGTATCCCTTTACCACTGAGATGAACCACAAGATAGAGGGATGAGACAGCTATATCTACCAGCTTCCTCTATGTGACACGTGATGGGGGGGACTTTAAGGATGATGAAAAAACACAAGGTGATGTATTTCTACAATAGCAGGGTATTTACACTTCTGGAGACTATATATGGACATATTCAGAAAAGTCTACTTCTGTGAACCTATTATTATTATTGCCATTTATATAGCGCCAACAGATTCCGTAGCGCTTTACAATATTATGATGCACTAATGTATAGCAAACACTTTGTCAGTGATTAAACTGAACATCGCTCAGTGTTCTGTTCCAGTATGTATAAACATGTAATATTCCAGCTACTGGTGGGTTGTGTAGAGCTGTTGATATTCCATAACAAACAAATATTAAATGTTAAAATGTTACCATACCGGAACCGTCGGGGGTTGAGCGCACATAAGTGGGTAACATTTTAAGTGTTGACTTTTTCGGGGGGTCTTTCTTCAGCCCACGTTCCATATCATCCAAAATCAGGTCCCTCACATGCTCCAGCTGTTTCTTCGATAGGCAGAAGGGCTGCAGACAACGCTGAACCTGGGTGTGGAACAGAACATCTATGAGACAAAGTTGCTACCATTGAAAGCTGTGGATTCTGAGAAACATCATCTCTTCAATGAATACTGAGACAAAAAAAATAGAAGCAAGCATTCACCAATAATATTCGAAAAGTGTAATGACTCTGCCATCAAGCTGACAATGCATACAAGCAGTCTCCTACTACTCTTTTAGTAGTCTTATCGGTGTTGAGGATTGGTGAAGATCACACATGGTTGAAACATTGTAAGGCACAATAAAGAAATTCCTATTCACTAATGAAAAGATGCCGTCCAACTTTAGAACTTATTCCATAAATATTAATATTTTCAATGGGAGTTCAACATTACAGAATATCATTCACACACTCTTTAATAAATGCCCAATCTAAGGTCAAATATAAACTGTCATAGTTTCCTCTTCAGACAATAAAGGGCTCAAATTAAGGCTTGTTTTGAGCAGTTTCATTGGTGGGTCTAACATACCAGTATACTACGCAATATGGGAAATGTGAGCGCAGCATGAAATACATACAGTGTTGGTTTTATACAGTAAAACAGGAATTGTGGACGGCTGGAATAAGAATTGTTAATTTAAGGGAATGCCATAGTTGATGTGGAAAACAATTACTGAGTTAATGCATTTTCCATTTTGATTACTTTGCCTGAAAACGTACAATCCCCTTATCAATTATCCCCAAATCCAAGATTAGTGAATATAACTCTATGCACATACCCAACTCATGCACATTATTTCCCAAATGTCTCATGCATTTCTACAAATCTAGCAAACATTTTACTCTGGCTAGACTGCTTCTCTCTTGAAAGATTTGCACATATATAAGATGGACATTTTAATATCACCATCATCATGACATCTCACTGTGTACCACACTGCCCTACCTCCAATAGTCTTGTCATACTGGAACGGATTGGAGAATCCTAAGTCTGTATTTTTCCCTCTGACATTACACCAGTTTTGGAGTTTGGAAACTGCTCTTGATCCTACATAATATTTGCATAGCTTTGTATATGACTGTAGAATCTCTACAGATGAAAAAAGTGATATTTCCTTATAGTGATAGCATGCCTCGATCCCTAAGAAGCCTGAATTTCATACGGGAGCAATGAGGACACATGTATTCTGCATGTACTCCCCTTTCTGGGAGTAACATACTCTGAATGACCCACTGCAGGAAATAAAATGTAAAAAAAAGTTTGTTTAAACACCTTTCAATGTATCCAACAATTAACACGCCATGCATACAGGGAGTGCAGAATTATTAGGCAAGTTGTATTTTTGAGGATTAATTTTATTATTGAACAACAACCATGTTCTCAATGAACCCAAAAAACTCATTAATATCAAAGCTGAATATTTTTGGAAGTAGTTTTAGTTTGTTTTTAGTTTTAGCTATGTTAGGGGGATATCTGTGTGTGTAGGTGACTATTACTGTGCATAATTATTAGGCAACTTAACAAAAAACAAATATATACCCATTTCAATTATTTATTATTACCAGTGAAACCAATATAACATCTCAACATTCACAAATATACATTTCTGACATTCAAAAACAAAACAAAAACAAATCAGTGACCAATATAGCCACCTTTCTTTGCAAGGACACTCAAAAGCCTGCCATCCATGGATTCTGTCACTGTTTTGATCTGTTCACCATCAACATTGCGTGCAGCAGCAACCACAGCCTCCCAGACACTGTTCAGAGAGGTGTACTGTTTTCCCTCCTTGTAAATCTCACATTTGATGATGGACCACAGGTTCTCAATGGGGTTCAGATCAGGTGAACAAGGAGGCCATGTCATTAGATTTTCTTTTTATACCCTTTCTTGCCAGCCACGCTGTGGAGTACTTGGACGCGTGTGATGGAGCATTGTCCTGCATGAAAATCATGTTTTTCTTGAAGGATGCAGACTTCTTCCTGTACCACTGCTTGAAGAAGGTGTCTTCCAGGAACTGGCAGTAGGACTGGGAGTTGAGCTTGACTCCATCCTCAACCCAAAAAGGCCCCACAAGCTCATCTTTGATGATACCAGCCCAAACCAGTACTCCACCTCCACCTTGCTGGCGTCTGAGTCGGACTGGAGCTCTCTGCCCTTTACCAATCCAGCCACGGGCCCATCCATCTGGCCCATCAAGACTCACTCTCATTTCATCAGTCCATAAAACCTTAGAAAAATCAGTCTTGAGATATTTCTTGGCCCAGTCTTGACGTTTCAGCTTGTGTGTCTTGTTCAGTGGTGGTCGCCTTTCAGCCTTTCTTACCTTGGCCATGTCTCTGAGTATTGCACACCTTGTGCTTTTGGGCACTCCAGTGATGTTGCAGCTCTGAAATATGGCCAAACTGGTGGCAAGTGGCATCGTGGCAGCTGCACGCTTGACTTTTCTCAGTTCATGGCAGTTATTTTGCGCCTTGGTTTTTCCACACGCTTCTTGCGACCCTGTTGACTATTTTGAATGAAACGCTTGATTGTTCGATGATCACGCTTCAGAAGCTTTGCAATTTTAAGAGTGCTGCATCCCTCTGCAAGATATCTCACTATTTTTGACTTTTCTGAGCCTGTCAAGTCCTTTTTTTGACCCATTTTGCTAAAGGAAAGGAAGTTGCCTAATAATTATGCACACCTGATATAGGGTGTTGATGTCATTAGACCACACCCCTTCTCATTACAGAGATGCACATCACCTAATATGCTTAATTGGTAGTAGGCTTTCGAGCCTATACAGCTTGGACTAAGACAACATGCATAAAGAGGATGATGTGGTCAAAATACTCATTTGCCTAATAATTCTGCACTCCCTGTAAAATGCATATTTATCGCTTTAAATGGCGTATCCAAACAGCTATCAGAAGGTCATGACACTGTCAGCAAATATACATTATTGTACACTCCACCACAGTCACGTCCTTTAGCTACACACAAGCAAGATTGCTGTATCTGTCACAATACAGGAAGTGGTCTTGTCTATAAAATGACAAAGCTACTTAAAAAAAAATATTATTCTTCCACGTAAAACCCTTCAAGGAAATAATGCAAGTTGACAAGTAACTTTTTACGAAACAGTTGGAAATAGGTAACTTAGAAATGAATAGAACTGAGAAAATTCACCATAGCCATCCTTCCATAATTTTACCTCCCAAGTAGCAAACACTCTGACTGCAGATGGGTTTTTAATAAAGTCCAAAGTAATTCCATTTGCCAGGCTTACCCATGGGTGCCTCCGGTATTGGTTCCGCATACCGAATGATATAAAGCACAGAGTGGAAGGTTGAAACACTGGCTGCCACAAGCCTCTTTATTTAAATATACACTGCAATAACTACGCCACATCGGAACTGATGCATTTCGCCCTTTTAAATCAAACTTACTCATAAACAACTATACTCTTGTCGAACAGTTATCCCCCCTACAAAACAGGATGGGGAGGAATCCAATTAAATATGGTAAGGCAATAAACCCTCGCATGCAGAAATAAAGAAAAGGTGTAAACCTATCACCAAGGAAATACATTTTTTTAAAATATATACAATAATTGAATATAAACTGCTTTTTGTATACAGGATAATTGGCCTTTTTGGGGGGATGAAGAAAGCAAGATATAAAAAGAAGTCTAATGGTAAGTATACATAATAAACATACATATAGATTTTTGTTTTCATTTTTTTTTGTAATGGGTTCTAGTTTTATTGCCCCCCTTACTATTATAATAGGGTGGGTCGGTTGGAGGTAGGATACCTTTATTTGGATGGGGGTGCTTAAGAGGTACCCTAGACACCTAGGGGGGGATGAACTTAACTACAATGGCATACCCACCCCTTCCATATATATTTAATTGGAGCCCCTGGAGGGAATTTGTTTCAGAATTGTAATTCAACGTAATATTTTATTTTCTCTCATTATGTTTTTTTAACGGTCTTTTCATCCTACAAACATATTGTTTTTGTAAATAAATAAATAAAAGATTTGCTATTGCAGTTAACATTTCCGTTGATTTTGTAAAATTTGTCTGTAACAGTAGATTTAAACGTTATTGAAATTATTGTAACAGCAGATACGTATTTGACTGCCATATATATAATTGCCCTCTTTATGTTGCCAGCTTTTACAAGCAATTTATCATGAGAAGCAACTCTGGGCAGCGTATTGTATGTTTTTTATTTGCTCTTCATGCAGAAAAGCTGCAACTTTTATCCATTAGAAATTCTAACTGGGGATTTGAAGATAGAATTAGAAGACAAGATTTTTCTATTTCACAAACGTGATTGGAGGGCTAATAAAGGCACATAGACCACTTCATCCCAAAAAAGTGGTTTCGTGCAGTGGTTCTGTCATTCTAAACCTGCACTGTACAACATTGCAGTTTTGTGGAAACTGCGATGTTCATATTGCAGGGTTAAACACAATTCTACCTGACAGCCATTCGATTTGAGTGAAACTCGGTGCGGGATCAAATGCTGCTGATAGTTTTGCTGTGCATGCAAACCTCCAATCCATTTTCTTCTATGACAAGAAATGGATAAGGTATCCAGAAAACTGCTATATCTAAGAAGTATCTCAAAATGTATTATACTGGGCTCTGCATACGTGTTTAATACTGCGTTGGGCACTCCTTCAACAGCACTTGACTGCATGCAACTTTCATACCAAGAGAATCTGTTTTGAAAACTGTTTATTTTTTGATTTTTTTTAAATCTACTTAGTCTACACCACATATTGACCAAGTGCCTGGACCACGTACCATTTGTCTGGGTAAGGCTTTTCGCCCACACAGGAGCCTTGGCTACTGGACAAACCAATAAAAACATCTCTTGGCAATCCAATACTAGAGAATTGAATATGAAACCTTTCTCCCTGACTGTACCGAACAGCTCTTGAGAGCATTTCAAAAGCATTTTACCTGCAGTGGGTTCACAATACATTTAATTTATTGCACTGCCTGATTGTTCATTTCTATTAACAGTAGATTCTCACACTATCTTAAGGAGTCTAGCCAACTCCTTGGTTTTGCACCCCTCCCTGTCACAGGTAATTCATCCCAGGGCCCTATTTTAGCCTTGTACTGCAGAGAACTCGAGATAGAATTTTTTCCCCACGTAAGTAGCTAATTTAGCAGACATTTGGCTTTTATAGTAGGACCTGCCAAAGATGGGGTACATTGATGTTGTGGCAGGATTATGCAATGTATGATCATATAATGTAACTAAACCCCCATTATTTTTTCCCTAGTTTAGGTGTTTTTAAAAAACTAACACCAAAGTTGCTGTTTAGCGGATAAGGAAGTGCGCTGGATTTTCATTTTTACTATCTCAAGGATACACTGAAATTTAAATTACAAGTATTCTGATTGAGGACATCATGGAACTCCACTGCATTTTCTTGCCCAGCATTCTACCCAAACAACTCCCAACACCCCATAAAATGTCTAGCATAGGAAGGGGCAAATTTAGCACCTATAGTGGAGCTACGCACCAAGACCAAGTTCACGAGGAATTCTGGAAAAAAGGAAAGTGACATAAAGTTAACCAGGAGCTGTTAGTACTCCAGTGGAATTGATCGACTAATTGATAAAACATGTTTAATGTCATGCAACTGGCCAGGGATATTACTGGCCAAGAGTTGAAGAAAAAAATCAACCCATTTTGACAATATTTTACCCAGTGAAACAATACCAGTACAGTTGGACAGCTGGGCGGATCACTAGGTGATTTATGAGCCTTATGAAAATGCTAGTGTATTGGGGTAACTAAAGCTCCACCATTAAAAATTCTAACTTAAAGAAAAATCCTATATATTCTACACCAAATTGTTTCCTCCAAACTGTTGTTTTTTGTTTTTTTTAATAGGCCCTTCATTTGTGGAGAGTTCCTGTGGAGCCAGATAATGATGAGTGATAGTGGGGAATCATCGGAGGCCATGAGAGATCTGAACGTTGGTTTGTGGGACACTGGCAAGAGTGCAGGGCCAGCGGCAACTATTGGCGAAGTAGGTGCCGGCCTAGTTCGCACATTTGCAAAGGGCTCTGAGGATGGCCGACTGTCCCTCTGCGCATGGTGTTGGTACATGTGCCGCGGCACTGGCAAGCCGCACTTGGCACTAAGAAGAGGGGAGCGCAGGCGCTGCTCTGAAACCAGCATTTAAGTGAGCGCCAGAAATCTTATTTGTGTGTGTGCTGAATGTCTTCATTTGGCTCTGGAGTACAGTAACACGAAAGCCAAACTTTTGGAAGGACCATCTGATCTTTGGAAGGTAAAGTAAATATGACATGTTATATATTACCGCACAGTATTTGTCTGTTAAACATCTATTTATTCCTAGTACAGTTGATGCAATGACTATTTAACCAATCTTCAGTCAACGGACCCTGCAATTGTTATCAACAGTGCCACCCCCAACTTAAAGGACCACTATAGTGCCAGGAAAACATACTCGTTTTCCTGGCACTATAGTGCCCTGAGGGTGCCCCAACCCTCAGGGTCCCCCTCCCGCCCGGCTCTAGGGAGAGGAAAGGGGTAAAAACCTCCCTTTTTCTAGCGCTGGGCGGGGATCTCTCCTCTTCCGATCCTCCTCCTCTCCGCCCATTCAGCTGAATGCGCACGCGCGGCAAGAGCTGCGCGCACATTCAGCCGGTCGCATAGGAAAGCATTTACAATGCTTTCCTATGGACGCTTGCGTGTTCTCACTGTGATTTTCACAGTGAGAAGCACGCAAGCGCCTCTAGCGGCTGTCTCATTGAGGAAGGATTAACCCATTTATAAACATAGCAGTTTCTCTGAAACTGCTATGTTTATAAAAAAATGGGTTAATCCTAGCTGGACCAGGCACCCAGACCACTTCATTAAGCTGAAGTGGTCTGGGTGCCTAGAGTGGTCCTTTAAGCTTATATATATATCTATGTATGAGTGGGTGATGCTCCAGTTAAGTAACTTTTAATGCACAAACTTCTTTACTGGGATTGTGTAATTGATGGCTTATGCAACACAACCCCAACTGTTTGCATTTTTCTCTAGTCTAAAGAAATACACCAAGGTGAAGCTACCACTTTGTTTTTTTTTTTTTAAATGCACTATAGAGATTATCCTAAAAAAAAGGGACATTCTAAGCAGCAACAGAATGTTTATATTTTGTAAAGATTTTGATCCAAACTACTGGCTGTGAATGTGGCACACTCAATTTTGAATACTTTTTGGAAAAATAAAATATCGTAACCTCCCTTATTCTAAAATACTTTTTTATTGCTGCACATGCACATAGCTCCCTTTCTGTACACTTCATCCCACTACACACACACACACTACAGGATGAGGCAGAGTCAAGGACGGAGCCAAAGGGGGCGGCAAAATGAGGCTTTGCCTTGGGTGGCAAAAATCCTTGCACCAGCACTGTAAGAGTGGGGTAAGTATTGGGTATGTTAGCAGTGCCCAAAAAATATATGTCGGTGTAAGTGAAGGTGGTTTTGGGTAGAAGGAAGACAAGGAACATCTCTACCACAGTAGAGATTCCAAGGGCAATGTAACCCAGTCTTGTTCTAGAGTTAAGCATAATTTATTCATGTCTCTTGAGTTCCAGGCGATTAGTCGGGAGAAGACTAAGGACAAGAAATATATATAAATATCAGTAAGACTCAATCCTCCGTCTTTAGGTCTAGCAAGCATGTCAAATGACAGTCTGGGCCTTCTGCCAAACCAAATAAAGCCTGTAAATAGCTGTCAAAGGGAACTAAAAAAAAAGGATTAAGGAATATGGCTGGAGAGCACTTGAAATAAAAGGAAAAGAAAAGTAAGGGCATTCATTTTTTCAGATATTAACCTGGCCATACCAGGAGACGTGAGGTTTGTTCCATCCACTAATGTCGTGTTATAACGTTTTAAGTAATGGGGAGTAATTATATAGGGTGTCCTATATACTCCTAATATTTTACATGGTTAGTGGATACTTTAAAGGGATACAATTGTGGGAGGTGTGTTCATAACAAGGCTGTAGGATTGGTGAGGAATTCACTTTTATCATCGATAACCTGTAATTTGGAGAAAATGGGGCTAAATCCTCATCTCTTCCATCAATGGAGGAACGGACTGTATTAGGTCAGTACCAAATCAAAATGCAGTAATCAAGCATCAAAATGTTTTCGATTGGTGATGGTCCTACCATATGAAAGTCCAGCTGGGTGCTTCTCCTATCACTGATCATACAAATATGACAGCAATGCCGGATCCATATGCAGGACAGATTTCATCTATACATCTATGGAGTTTTTATATGTCAAAAGCACTATATATAATATACTATTAAAAGATTATTTATTCTAGTTTGAATAAATGGAATTAAGAGGAGAAAAAAACATAAGAGGGAAAAACTATTCTAGCAATAAAGTAGCTAAAAGTGCACTCTCATATTTGCTAAACATTTTATCTGCACATCCTTCCCATAAGGGAATTTTAAGTGCATAGGGGACCTAATTTTAAACTCCCTTATGTGAGGGATGTGCTGGTAAACTGTTAAGAACGTGTGAGAGTCTACTTTCAGCTACTTTATTGCTAGAATTTAAAATAACTTACAATATTTTACTATATATATATATATATATATATATATATCAGGTCAGGGACAATAAGCTGAGTTATGGTAGTGGTGGTGTAAGTCGGTTATGGTATGCCGAAACCGACATTCGAGTAGGCCTGTAAAAAGAGGGCCCACCAAAATTGAATGGCTTGATAAAGGGAGTGGTGGTTGGGCTGAACCAGGAAGAGTCAGTTCAGAGGAAGGGGAGGCCTATGTATTTATAGATCGGGTAACACCTCCCACAACTTCAGGCTCCATCTACAGGCCTTCCCATATATATATAATATATACCTGTTTTCTCCCATCATCATCTATTCAAATGAATCTATCATATTTTAATACTATACTATATACTATACTATACTATATTACATGGTACTTTTTACATGTTATAAGATGAACTCCACATAAGATGTACTCCACAGAACTCCACATAAGATGAACTCCACAGAACTCCATATACGATGAACTCCACAGAACTCCACATAAGATGAACTCCACAGAACTCCACATAAGATGAACTCCACAGAACTCCATATAAGATGAACTTCACAGAACTCCACATAAGATGAATGCCAAAGATGTATAGAGAGTTTCTATAGTTTATAGATAGCGCAGTCCGTTTTTATTCTGTTTTACTATGTTTATATAGGTTAGAGGTTTTTACCTACATTGGTACTGCTGCACCTCCTCTTATATAGTTAATTATTAGACACATATTTCATATGTAGATTTATTTATTTATTCTGCAGTCCAAATCCTGTGACTGGCAAAGGATACTGAAAGTCTCAAATAAGCACTAGTAGGGTTATTCACGAGAGAAATAAGATTGCAGAGAAAATACATATTATGGGAACAGGGAGATTTCCAAATAGCAAACCATGTGTTCTCTTCCTTATTTTGCTCTTGCTAAACAGACTTCTCAAATGTCTTATGAAATGGTTTAAACAATCAGAGGGTATGATATTTTACAGTATCACCATTCATTGTGAGCCCATAATGTCACGGTAACACCAGGACATATTTGTCCTGGTCCACATGAAATTAGAGGATATTAAAGGGTTACTCCAGGTGTAAGGACTACTTTGGTGATTTGAAGTGGTCATGGTGCCTAGAGTCTGTATGTACAGCATTTCGCTTTGCACATAACGAGTTTAACCTCTCTGCTGCATGAGTTGTAACTTCAACTCCGGCTGCGTCATTGGGGTGACATCAGGCTAATGTCAATTCTGTGCAAATTTTGATGCACAGAATCTAATGCATTGGCTGAGAGCTGTAAGATGATGCTCTCAGACAATGAATCAGTGGAAGGATCTGCATACAGCTACTGCAGCTATGCTTCAGTGGAGACTCCGCACATAGCAGGACCAGGTTTGTTCTGCGGGGTGCCAGGTTCCCACTGAAGCAGAGCTCTCAGTCAATGTAATGTGTGCACTGAAATTTGCACAGAATTGACATTAGCCAGCTCGGAACTCTGACACCCCAATGACATTACCAGGTAATGGTATCGGCGTACTTCTACCATCATAACCACTACGACAGACTGTAGTGGTGATGGTAGTTGGAGTAATACTTTAATCTCCAGCGCTGCAGCTGCCATTCAAAGCTGTCACTAATTCAGTCACTTTCCTGTAAATTATGTGTTGGATTGGAAGTTGAGGAGAAATAATTACTTTTTCCTCTGTCTCCGCAGTTTCTCTTGCTGCATATGAGTAACTGGAAAAAGGCTGATATAAGTAAAGCAATAACAAAGAAATGTTACTGACTGAGAACTTAAAGGGACACTATAGTTACCAGAACAATTACTGCTCGTTGTAATTGTTCTGGTGAGTATAATTATTCCCTTAAGACTTTTTTCAGTAAACACTGTATTTTCAGAGAAAATACAGTGGTTACATCACAGCCTAGGGAAACCTCCACTGGCAACTCCTCATATGGCTACTAGAGGTGCTTCCAGTGGCAGTGCTGCACATTGTGCTGCTTTGCCATTCAATGACTCCACCCTCTGCATGGAGATACTGAACTTTCCTCAAATAGATACATTGATTCAATTCATTTCTATGAGGAGATGCTGATTGCCAGGGCTTTTTCCACAAAATTAAGTTGCAATGCAGTCTTATAAAAAGGATGTTAAAGGTGTGGTGTGGGTATCTTTTGCCTGAAAGCTATACAATAAAATAATGTAAAACTTTATTTCATCAATGTAAAAATGCATTGGAGTCGGGATCATTTATGGAGCTCACCACTGTGTTTGGCTTGTGCTGACTCTGCCCCTGTTTTGCCTCCTTGACAATCTGAAGCCAATCCAGTGCCTTCCTATGAGAAAGCATTGTGATTGGTTCAGATCATTACTTCTGATGATGTCAGTCAAGCAGGCAGATCAGGGGCAGAGCCAGCAGCAGCAGACTGGAAAGTAAGATTTTATTATATTTGGGGAGCAACGAGTTCCCAAGGGAACCAAATTGCATTTTTAACACTATAGGGTCAGGAATAGGCATTTGTGTTCCTGCCCCTATTTTGTTCCTTTAAAATTCCTCAATCTTAGGAGGTTAGGACAAGTGATCCCAGTTCTAACCCTAGCCAAAAAAGTTTTTTGTTTTTTTAAATACATTTACTATAAATACATAACACTGAAGTCTGCAATATAGGAAATAATGCCCCCAGGGTTCTTGAGGCACCAGATGTGTTTTTTATGATGTCACCTGAATGACGCAATGACATTATTTCCCCATATAACACACTTCACTGTTATGTATCCTCTCTCTGTACACACATTCAAACACAAACACACAAAAGAAAATATCCTTCTGAAGGTTACATACAATGTATCAGGAGATAACACACACATATCTATATACATATATATATAATGAAAAAGTAACTGGTTTGACGTCCACAATGTTACGGAGCCAAACAATTACCAAACAGATTTTCGTTTGTTCCAACTAATATTTACTTGAAAACTCAAGAAAAGGTTAAAGATAAAGAATGTAAGCAAGAAAAATAAATAAATATATTTTTAGAGATAATCTGATATGAACATAGTGTTTCCATTATGAAGATAAACATAGTCTATCTGTCTTGCTTTAGTTGTGCTTCATAATTTTTTTTTTTTAAATACATAAAAATTAAATGAAAAAAGGTAACCTTCTTCAACGTTCCTACTGCTGTCAAGCAACAGGTAAGCCGAAACAGTCCTTTCCTGAACCTTTCATTCTGGTCCAATCTTATTTCATATCTAACAGTGGTTTGTGGTATATGCAGTTCAACCCCCCAGTCACTGATATTTTGAATATTAAAAAATATAAAAGACTGGTTCTGTTAATCATGATCATGTGGCTGAAGGTTGGGTTCCTTTAAAATGTACAATACTATGCTGGTGGGGTGGTGGGGGTGGGGGGGCTGGCCGGGGAGCTGAGAGGAAGCAAGCCTAGGGCAGCACAAAACCAGGATACACCACAGTACTCACCTACAGAGTAAAGCCGATAAGTGGGAAAGATGAGGCCAGAACAAGATGGCGGATGGCATAGATACTCACACAAAGTGACAAACCCCCAGCGACTGAGCAACGGCCCTTCAGGCAAAATATGATGCTATATGCGAGCGCTTCTGGGCAAGTTTGGAGGACAGGCACCAGCCTCTAAAGCCACCAACGGCCAACACCACGGCAAAAGCACCCACAGCACGCCAATCAGACAGAACTTCACACCCTAACTGGCACCGGACCAGGATGCAGATGGTGAAGACCCAACCAGGCAAAGCTCACCACGAAGCTCAAAAGTATTGCACAGTTGGTCCACCTGGGGCGAGAGCCACACGGGGTGCGACCCCAGCACGCCACCAACGTAGGCAGATGAAAACAAAGCAGCAGCCGAAACACCGGACTGCAGCCCTACATAGCCACAAGCCAACCCGCAAGCATCAGCCACACATGCTGAAGACTACAGAAAGCAAATGGAGTACCACATGAGCAACAAGCAGCGCCCACCGCGCCACCACCTCCAGAGAGCCACGGGACCTCACAAGAACCCAAGCACACAGAAACAGAGCACCGGCTCATCAGCAACCCCAGAGTTGGAGGGGCTCCCCGCCTCCACAGCGCTACACTACACCTAAAAATTGACTCAATACACATGCAAACAGCAAAAACCGCAGGGGCATTGGCTGATAGACCGGAGCTTTCACCAGAGGGGCTAGTTTGATCTCCCACAGCCCACAGGTATCTTATACAGGACTGTCTTTCTATGCGGTATCCTAGATGACGCCGGAAAAGACTACATTCCCTTGCTACCTGTCTAGAGACACTAAAATTATAAATACATTGCCTGTTTAGCCAGCACACTGGGCTGGTTGCCTGACACTCTCTCACTCTGCTTAAGATAACTTCACCCAGGCTTCAGCATCCCAAAGCCTCCCTACACTCTAGGCAGGATAATTTAGCATACATACTGTAGGCTTACTCATGATTACACATTTTATATCTTGAACCCATCAGTTCTGTTAAGCCTGTTTATACACATACTGAGAGCTCTGACATCTCCGCCCAAGCTGTGAATCGGATGAGGGCTCACTGAGTTCCCAGACGCTGCGGGGCAAGGTGAACTTACCGACATAAGAATCACCCACACTTACACTGCGAGGGACTCCTGTACTATACCACACCTACGAGAATTAGCCCGTTAAGTTTGTTTTCATGTCATTATTTTACTTTATTACCAAGAATTATAATCAGTAAGTCTAGCCTGTTTAGTTTGCACCTACTTAATATCAACCAGCATGGTAATACCCTATGCGGTGCAAAGATATGGCTATCCTGATAGTCCCAGCGGAACCTCTCCTCTTGTAACCATGTAAGATTGTCTTATTATAGGTCAAGATGACTTCTTTAAAATGTGTTCCTTGCCTTTAACTACCCTCTTGTCATGTGGGCCTAGTTTCCAGCTTGCTCAACCAGAATTGATTGTTACTCATATCTTAGCATGACCATCATGACCACATGCACAACACTCGTTTAATCTCGCAAGCTACACTCATGTAGTCAGCCGGAATAGCCTAATATGTTTATCAACTGATATGTTTTCACACCACCGACTATCATCTTGTTTTCTCTCGATAACCCTTATACAAAAATGTGCACCGATTTTCTATGCCACAACTGTTATACTTTGCTTATTTCAATACATGTTCCTGCTGTTGGGGCATGACATGAATGCTTGTTAAAGGACAACTATAGGCACCCAGACCACTTCAGCTTAATGCAGTGGTCTGGGTGCCAGGTCCAGCTAGGTTTAATCCTTTTTGCTGTAAACATAGCAGTTTCAGAGAAACTGCTATGGTTACCTATGGGTTAATCCGGCCTCTAGTGGCTGTCTCATTGACAGCCGCTAGAGGCGCTTCCGCGCTTCCCACTGTGATTTTCACAGTGAGAAGACTCCAACGTCTATAGGAAAGCATTGAGAATGCTTTCCTATGGACTGGCTGAATGCGCGCCCGGCTCTTGCCGCGCATGCGCATTCAGCCAGGGACATCAGAAGAGGGAGGAGAGTCCCAGCGCTGAGGGAGCCCGGCGCTGGAAAAAAGGTAAGGCATTAACCCCTTCAGCGCCACGGGAGTGGGACCCTGAGGGTGGGGGCACCCTCAGGGCACTATAGTGGTCCTTTAAATTAACTCATGCACGTAAAAATAAAGAATTTTAAAAAAAAAATACTATGCTGAAAGGGACATGTATAGCCTGAGCACACAGTACAAGTACTTGAATAGGCACAGAGGAATCATTAGCTTTCTCCTGTGAGTACACTGAGAGAGGGGTAGGCTTACAGAACAATCACATTTCCCACTTCACTGTAGTTATATGCTACTGTGTGTAGGGAGAAAAGAACAAGGGACCTCCTTGCACCATAACAACTTATACATGGAGCACAGCTTCCTAACTGTTAACATTTGAAATGGACAAAGAGGGACTCTTTAAATTAAGGGATGTGTGAGGGGGTGTGACAAGGACGGGGCTGGTCTGATAAATTTTAGGTGAAATAGTAATAATTTATGTAACTAAAACGTATAACACAAATTATGTATCTTATTAATACATACTGATTTGTAAACACATGTATTGTAGTTTAAAGACACATTACTGTGTGTTTCATTGCGGTGGAGCTCTGTTACACACTACGCCACTTAAACAATATGAAGTTCCTAAAAAGAGCAACAGAGGAATTTAGGCCCAAAATTGAGACATCACTTGGAGGTATGCAACTTGTTATGGTGTCCCTTTCATGGTTTTTGTTTTTAGGATTAGAGATTAGCTCCCATTTAAAGTCTCTTAAAGAATACCATTCACCATAGAACGTGTTAAATATAATGTACCCAGATAGAACACACAGTACCAGAATGAAATTTCGCAGAGCAAGCACAGCTGCTCACAAACCTGCTTCAATTTTTTCAGAAATAAAACATAAAGAAACCTCCACGTGAAGCCTACTTTATAGCTTGCATTCAGGAGAATGAAATTGAAGAGATGAATAATTATGGTTCACTAACTCACACTTTGAGATCATTTACTAATAAAGTATGTTGTATTACTAAGTTCTGCTATTCTTAGTCCACAGCAAATGGAGTTTATAGCCACATTTCACATCTAAGTAAACAGTTACACATGGCAAGAAATGCAATGAATAATGTTTATCCTCTATCGAGCCCTTGATATTTGCAATTGGTTTTACCTACAAGCCAAAAGCAGTAATAAACCATTATTTTAATATGAAATCAGAATATCTATTGTGTTAACTCTTCCTATACTGCAACAAAATCAGCATATTTGCAATTTATTATAGAGGTATCGATCTGATGTAGCTGCTGTGAGTTGCCACCTGGAGATTGTCTGGGAATTCACTGAGCAATACACATACCTAACAAGTGACCCAGTTTACAATGGAGAGTCCCTAACTTGAGACCAAATTCTACAGTCTCTCTTTTCTATTATAAAGCTCCTCTTTTCTAAATTCTCTATATTTTTGGTGTTGTCTCTGCACCCAGTGACTCTTGTAAAGTGCAGCTTGAGTGCGTGTTTAAACGTGCTCAAGCTGCACCTACTATGAAATAGAATGGGACCGACTTTCCAAACTTAACCTTTCATTTAACTGTTTGTTTGTTTTTTTGTGGAGAAATGGGGAGGACTTTCACTAACGTTCGTATATTATAAGGTGTTTATTCATAATGCTCCTTTAAATCCTTATGAATACAATGTTAACAAGTTAGCACTTACTTTCTTAGAAGCTCTTATCCTAGCTCTAAAGTGAACTACTTATCCATTAATTAGGTGGTGCTGCCCCTTTAAATCTGTATATTGTGTTGCTGTTAAAACTTCAACAAATTCTCAACTAACTACAACATCTTCAACACTTCCTCATATCATTTAATTCCATAAAAATCAAAAGACAGGTAATTGTGTAATATTGCTATGCTCAAATAAAAAAAACAGGTATCATAATTACACGGTAAGAAGCCCTCCCCTGGTACGAATTGCAACAGGACTGTTTGGGGTGTACCTGCTCTGTTTCTGGAATGGATGCACCACGTGCCTTTTAGCATGACAAACAATACATTTGCTATAGTAAATTAGTAAACATGAAAATAATACAAAAAATAACAAAAAAAATCCTATGATGCAGCTTTTGAAGTCCCAAGAGGTGTTTTGCCCATTTAGCCTTTCTTCTGCAATGCCATGCAAAAAAAACAAATAGTAAAAAAAATTAAAAAAAATAAACGAAAATGCAAGAATCTCTTTTACACAGAGATGATAACTAGAGCATACACCATGTGTTACATTGGCATGTCGCAGCAAACCTGACTCTAATGTGTATGTTTGCTTTGGGAGTTACCCTGATCTGCAGAATATAAACGTATTAGGGATAAAGCATCTTCAGCATTTGTTCCGTAGTCTCATTTCTGTGTTTCTCTGAACATTTTAGTGTTTTGGTCTGGTCATCTGTCTTAGCAATGGCAAAACTTCTCAAGAATCCTGATTTCAAAAGTGACCTTCATGCTATTGATAGATGGAATTTGTATCACCTTTTCTGCTAGTTCTATTGACTGTGTAAAGGTTCGCTTCTTTCTATCCATAAAGATATTATCTTTAAGTATTGCTCATGGCTGTTAGAATGCATTCGGGGCATTCCATTCCAGACCTTGTCATTCCAAATCGTATTTTTCTGTATACAAAATGTTAGCGTACAATAGATTTCATGTAGTATTGCTAGAGCCATTTTCTGATATATTAGCCATTTTTACTTTATTGCTGCAGAAAGTTTAGATTTCTGTTTTTCAGTATGACAAGCGAGTATTTACATGATAGAAATGTCAGCGAAACATCCATTTACTTAGTTACATAGTAATATTGGTTGAAAAAAAGACTAAAGTCCATTAAATTCAACCATTTGACTAGAAAAGATGTTTGGGTGAATTGTTAATATCACAATCATTATCTCAGGATAATTTAAAGAGACAACACATATTTCTAAGGCACTTAGCTTGCTCAACAGAAGAGTGTCCTTGTAGCCTTATTTTAGAAAAGTAGCAACTTAAAAAGAAACTGTCACTTTTATAACCCTCCTTAGCAACACCTCCCAGCTCTCAAATAAGATAGTTTCTTCCTCGTTCACCTTGAGAGCTTACTGAAGAAGTAAGTTAGAACCAGGAACAGTATTTATGGAAATGAACTGAACTCATTATGTAAAAAGGAAACTACAACCTATTTTTATATACCGCACTTTTTTAATCACTAGGGGAATCAAACTGTTTAACGCACTTGTTCCAAAACTGAAATGGTTGACCCATCCACCATGACCACTTCTGCTTTTAAAGTGGTTTTGGTGCAAGCCGTCTATACGCGCAGCTTTTCAGGTTGAAATGCCTCCTATACAGAGTAATCTATGTACTTGTGCCAGGGTGTAGTCACTCGTCTAGCATACGTTGAGTAGGAGTACTGTGCAAAAATTGTGTCCGTTGTCATCATGCTCTTTATCAGGATCTACATATCGGTCATTATATATATTAAAAAAATAAATAAATATATATATATATATATATATATATTTGAAAACAGGTAGGGGTAACCCTGTAAAGGGACGCTCCAGGTTGAAACGCACTTCTCTTTTTCTGTCAGCACGTAGGGCGTATTATCCTTTGTGCTGCTCTGGTGCAACATTTCTCTATGTGCTCTCTGTTCACACCATCTAGTGACTTGCGTCGACCTAATGTTCGTTCGGATGCTGGACGCTCCACTTCTATGTGTTTTTTTTTTCTCCAGACCCTTGTTATTAGTGCAGTATTAGTGATGTGTACATGATGACGCCATCAAGGTGACTCTGAGCATTCACCACTTGGTGCGCCAGAATGATGCCAACCTATCAGAAGCTTCCTAGGGCTATATTAGCTCATTCCACTTTGAGGACTGCCCCTGGCATGATTTTCCCTCTGTGGTGATCTGAAAGTTTGTTATATCTGGTTTATGTTTTTGGCTATCTTGTTTATGGGCCATTCTCCATTCTGTGCCTGATCTTTGGCTTGTTTAATTGAATACATTTCTATCTATCTCTCTGACTTTGGCTTGTTCACAGTTATTCTCATTGTGTTAAAGGGCACCTTTAGCTCTTTAAAAATAACATACAATTCCATCTATACATGGTGCTATAAACTAGGGGGTAGAGGAACAAAGTGTTCAGACGCTGGCACGCTGGCAATGAAGTTTGAGGAGTCTGAGGAGGTTTGTCCAACTTGGGGAGGTGTCCTCAAGCAGGGCAAATCAGTGATCACTGGAGGAGGAGCACTAGTGGACCATGGAGGAGCAAGGGTTTGACCTCGTTGAAGTGATCATGGCGGGGAAACAGAGGCCATGGTAAGTGACTACGAGTTTCCTTTCAGCCCGATTACCCTAAGCTACTCAGGTGATACGCTTCTATTGCTATATTGAATTACCTTAGTCTCTTCTGACCTACTTTCTACGTGTTGGGTGGTAGTAAACCATGACATTTTCTAATGCGTAGAATCCTTTTAAAACTCCTTTTTCTTCAGAGTTGCACTTCTGCAAACAATTTTTGAAACTGCCAGTGCGCAAGTCAAACAGCAGTAACGGCAAGATATCCATCCTCTGTGTTCCATGGATTTCCTCTTCTTGATTTATGAGTTGAGTTATGATTGGCCTACGTGACTGTTTTCCTGTACAGTGTCTTAGCTATGTACATGCACAGACAAAGAAGCAAAATAAGCAAGCAGTAGAACTTCTCCTTGACCAGAAGAGGCTTCATCAAGCAGGAGCCTCTCATTCTGGTATATTTTTTTATTTTTTTATGGTCTGTAACATACTGTAACTCTCAATGGGTAGCCAGTCACAGCCATCCAAGCAGACGATTTGGAAGAAGTGCAGCAACCGCAGTGCTAAGAGGATCCAACATCAGGGTTAAATCATTCAAACACTATTTAACCCCATTGGGTAAGGTAGCGCCCAGCGACTCCTCACCTCGAAATAAATTAATAGAAGATGAAAGAAGTAAATGGTGGAAAAACACAATGCCATAGCACAACCAGAAGTCACACGCAGAGCACCCACCCACCCAAGAAAATCTAAGAATAAACTGGCATTTATCTTTTAAGGTGCAAGCCATTTTATCAAATGCAGGATATTACTGGCATTGGTGCCGAATATCTAATAAAAGCCACATTTCAGATGTAAAGAGTAAGAGTGCGCAGGTCCTTGTAATATAACCCAAAGGAGCGATTGAATGTGCAACAATTTTTCCCGGATCTAAATAGACAAATTTTCAAATAGCAGCAGCCGCCCTTCTGTTTTGCAAAGTGATCTTTGTTATTAAGTTTTTTCAAATAAAGGAGAAACTGCAATCATTTTTACATGCATTTTCCAATGAAGTTCATGAGAAATGATTATGCATGCACAAGTTACATCCTTTACTCATGCATGCTTAGTAATGTTCCAATAAAATTCTGTGTAAATTAAAGGATACGAGACTGCAAATAGGAATTTGTCGTCTTTAATCAAAGTTAGAAACATGATGATGACATTTCAACCACACCATGGTCTTAAACAGATATACCAAACGCCACATGGTGTGGTTGAAACGTCATCATCATGTTGTATGACTTTGAGTAAACACTACAATTTCCCATTTGGAGTGTTCATATCTGTTATTTATACACTGAATCTGTAAAGGGGTTTTGCCACCATGGGTTCATGGTTTCACCAATGAAAACTGTATTAGGATTTATGGAAGTGTGTAGACCCTGTTGTGTAAATTTCTACAACAATAGACTATGGCAGGTCCAGGATTCACTGAGAGATTTCAGCAAATCCTGAGTAATACCATGAGCATTAGTAGCAGGATTATAACCCAGGAATTTGCTGCAAAAGAGGAACATTCATTTTTTAAGAATGTTTTAAGACAGTATCTACACCTTTTCCCTAAAAATAAGACAACCATCGAAAATAAGCCATTGTTTATTTTCAGGGGATGCTCGTAATCTAAGCCCTATCCCGAAAATAAGCTCTATTTGCTAGTCACTAGTTCTCTAACCTATGTTCGGGGGATTTTCTTGCCTATTTTTCTTTCATATGCACCACACACAGCTATCACACTTACAGTCACCACACTCACACACAAAAAACATTTCATTTCCTACGCAGTCTTTGCACACAAACCTCACTGTTTTGGTAATTGGACTCTTTTCAAGTGACTCCCAGACACTGCACACCTGGTCTTCTCCTGCAGAAATGCCATATGTTTATATGTTTTCATAGAGCTAAATAACGTCTTTTAAGGGGAAATCAGAAGAATAGTCTGCAGGTGCAGGTACCCGATGGGACACAGTTAACTTGTTAAATTGTTCTAAAATGATACGACAAATTACACTGGGAAAACATCTGGCACCATAACCACTACAGAGGACTATAGTACTTGAGTTTTTTTGAATGCTCCTTTAATAAATATTCAGCTGAGGGCACACACCCTAATGAAGCATGCTGTGCACGCCTATGGTAATCTGTAACCTTTAAAATGCATCTCAATAGAATAATATAGTCAAGGATTGAGAATTCTAGGTTAAAGAAGCCAAACTGGAAAAAATATCTAAGTCACCTATGCTTTCCATACAGCTACTCTAGCCTAAATTCGAAATTCACTTGGAATTAACTTTGAAAACTCATCTCATATTAGTGAATAACCCTGATAGTGTGCATATACAACCTCCACTCAGTTTTGCAAATACTGCGTTTTAGTAAAATACAGGGATTTTACCATTGTCCACTCTAAAAGAAAAAAAAAGTCTTACATCAAAATAAAAAAACCTATTCAAAAGTAACACGGAATATTAGGGGGACTTATTCCGCTGCTACTGTATCATTTAATTTATTAAACTGGCACTGCAAACCTAAGGACAAAACAGGCATTTTGGACAAATTCTGCAAGTCGAAAATTTTGATTTACATTTCCCAAAAACACATTAGTTGGTGAATTTACCCGCAAACTAAGTATTTGGCCATCAACAATATTCAGGTTTCTCATTTGGAATGTACTGCCAGTCTTAAGTATTTACAGGAATTTCAACTTCTTATGAAATCAGTCCTAATTTAACAAGAAGGGATGGTTACTGTAATGTGCCAAAGCTTCATTCTACAATTTAAACACTAAATTCATCATGAGACTCTTACACAGGCAGGAAAAAAATTGCACATAATTTTATAAAATGACTTAATTCTCCAGAAACTATAGTAAGTATTAACAGGAAGCCGATTGACACCCGGGAGGTATTACAACAGTTATTTATAAAAGTGGAGATTTCTATAGAAATCACACTTTTGTCATTGAAAAAATGCACATTTTGATTCACAATAAAATTAAAGGAACACTCCAGACACCTTAAGTTCTTTAGCTTTCTGTGTGAAGAGGGTTTCCTTTTTTTTCAATTTGGAAAAAGTGCAGATTTCAATAGAAATTTACACTTTTATAAATTAACCTGGTTACATCCCCTTGTCTTTCAATCAGGCAGCAGGTCCTGTTACTTTCTGATTTGTTTAGTTCAGTTGAGCTAAACTCAAGAGTCAGCAATTTCTCAGAGCACCTGCCTTGTGTAGACTTATCATTGAGCTGCATTGGGAAGTCTGTGATTGGACAGCCACAGAAAGTCTTGGCGGGGTTAGAAGGGGAGGGCTTGCAAAGGCAACAGACAAAAGGTTTTGCAAGCTGATTTTAGATATACCTTCAATAAAAACAATGCATAAATAAATGCATGTAAGTTTTCATTTGGGGTATATCTAGTAAACATTGATTTTTATTTATTTTGTGTTTGAGCAGTGGAGTGTCCCTTTAAAGGTCTTAAGTAAACATGAACAGCTTAAAGCTAGGGATACCCCCTCTACAATACCTTGCTGAACTATGTATTGCCATGCCAATGTCTCCAGCATAGGCTACCCTGCATCCACCGAGTGGTACGGACTGGCAGTGCCATCATTACCCTGCCATTGGCAGCCACGCAGTTTTGTACCAAGACATTTACAGAGCTATTCACGAAAGTGAGAATTTATGGGAATTCACAGTGAATGCTAAATTTAAGGTCAAAAGAGCAGAACAGGAAAAATCAAATCCGCTATAGTTACAGTTCTGCTAGTTTGGCCTCAGATGTAAAATTCCCTTTGAATTCCTTGACAATTCTCACTTTAGATAATAACCCAGTGTGTGTTTTATAAATTATTATTAGAAGCTAAGTGGTAAAAGTGGCTGGGCCAGCAATGTTTCATGCATCCACCACATACACCCTAGGGAATTACACTGGAGAAACAGTCTTCCAGTAAGTATATATTTTACTCTTAACATACGTTAAAATTTCCTTTGCACAATGTACAGAATAAATTTTTACCTGGATGAACGTGAACCTTCAATACTGACAAATTCAATTTAAAATATTATTAAAATAAATACCATAGTATTTAAATACACACAGACAGGTATGACTTCCTTGCAATAAAATAAAATAATAACTCTGTGTTTATTTTTTGGGAATATCCCTTTCACTTTCAGTGCTGCCTCTCTTCTTCTTATCTCGTGAACTCTCAAACTTTTCCTAGTTATTGTTTTTCAAAACAGACATACAGTCTCACAAGTCAAAATCACATGAACGTTACAATTTGTATCTCACAGTATAAATCGTTTACTACTCCTTCAAACATTTGGCAGCCGCCTGCTTTGTTTTTGGAAGTCACATGTTTATGCAAATTGTAGTCTCTTGTTCCACTTGTTGTGCATTCTCTGCTATTGATGCTACTGTGGCATGAGTGTATTACAAAGCACTTGCTACCCATGTGCACTGCCTGAAAAAGCCAGTGATATATACATTATATATATATATATATATGTATATATATATATAATACTGCGCTCACCTTTTCAAATGTTGGACACTGCACACCGTCCACGGGCCTCATATCTACTTTTGCCATTGCTTGAAGTTTCTGGACAAAAAGAATATAAAAAATAAAAAACACAGAATCAGCAGGGAAACTGAATTATGGAAAACAGGAAAGAAGAATGATAATGGAAAACAAAAATGATTAAATATGCAATACACAGACAAAGTGAAAGGGGAAGTTGCATGACGCAAAAAGGAATAATTCACATGATTCAGAAATATTTTCATATTTGCAGAGCAACGTCTCCCATAAATCACAGGATTGCCATTTTTCCAACTGCTATATAAAAACGATAACAAATTAACATACTGATATCCTCTAAATCACTAAAGAGGAAGTTATGAAAGTCACAGCTCAAAACAAAAGAACGTCTATATCCATTTATTTCAGTTTCTAAATGAATTTCCACTTCTGAGATGCTAGTGACAGAAACAGAGGCAATCTGAAACTATGCAAGTACTAAAAATAAAGTCCCAGCATGTACTATTTCAAAGAACTGACCCCTTTTTATACCCCTTTCTTATTCTTTTTAGGAGTTCTGAATTTATGGTATAGACGAGTGAATCCAGCAATAAAACTTTAGGGGTGATTTCCCCCGTTTAAAGATAAATTGTCACTTTTATGAATTGGTTTAGGAAAGCTTACTGATTCACATCGTACAATCTTTCCAGAGGATGTCAGAGCTTCCGCAGGGATGCATTAGTCTAATGCTTTACTATGTGACGCATTCTATTAGGACATCGTTGCATTCGAGTTGTGCATTTGCACCAATTTAAGTCTGCAACTAAGGGACACTGTCACCACTGCCAGTCTCTCAGTAGAGAGAAATAAAAGTACAAATTATTTTTATGTTAATAGGAGTGGTGCCTGGCATCTAAAGGAGTTAAGGAACACATCGCATTTTAAACATGAATAGTGTTTTTTTCATGTTCGGGTGTCTTTAAATAACACTGAATGTATTTGTAAATTAGAAAAACTAACTTTAAGTTTGCTAAATATTTTTTTTTTCATTTATGTGGCAATCAGTGGGATAATACCCACCCCATGTTCAAGCATCCAACCACAGCCTTACCACAGAAGTCACAATTTGGTGACTAAATATGGAGAGGTTTTTAAAGGGTTAAAAATAAAAACTATGAACAGGCCAGACACACCCCTAACTTTGTAACAATTATATTTATACATTTAATTTAAATAGAAAACAACTAAAACAGCTACAAAAACCAAATATAACCAAGTTTTAGCCCTTACAAAAAACTAATTTATTCTCAAAAAGAGTAAATGCATTTAATATTAGAAGCCGCTTCTTCATGGCTTCGTGGTTTTTTTAAGCAGTCAGTTAACACATTTTTTTCAATGTCCCTTGGAGTTGGGTCGCAGTCCGCCTCCACAGATGGCAGCCGATTGTGGGACCTAATGCGTATGTGCGGCGAGCACCATGCGCAATGCTTTCATATGTGGTCTTTTCTGATGCTAGACTTCCTCATGCAGAGAGTGAGGATGTCCAGTGTCATTTCGACGAGTCACACTCAGTGAAACTCCAGGAAGAAACACTAGAGGCAATCTTAGTACTACAATTGCAGTTTCTCTAAACTGTAATGTTTTTTTTATTGCAGGACTAAGAGGGTAGGGAACCTGCACCAAGACCACTTCAATGAGATGAAGTTGTCTGGGTGCCTATAGTGTCCCTTTAACCACTTCACTACAGAGATCTTGTATATAGATCGCTTTCAGACAAACATAAAAATAAAAAAAATTACAGAATGTTTATTTTTCACTTATTTGTTCAACCCTTATAAAAATATTTGGAAATAAAATAGTTTATAAAGTATTTGGTATCCATTATCTTGCAATATTTCATACGGCGTGTGAAATGTTTGTATAAAAGCAAAAAATATTTTCTTTCAAATACTGTAAGTGTGCCAAAAATAGATAAATAAGAATAGTCAAATACCTTGCTTAAATTGTAAAACAATCAGAAACGAGAGCAAAAAGAAAAAGATCAACTGCTTCAACCAGGAGTAGATACCAACACCTAGAATATTCGTGATATATACGTATAGATATAGATATACTATGGTAAATAAATATATTTCTAGCAGAGATGGTAGATCTGCTAAACAGTGAATTTAAAATGAAATATATCACTATAAAATAAGCAGTTCAATAACATTCAATCTTATGATACATATATTAGACAGGGAAAACAATCTAGACACAAACAAATGTATCTAAATAGATATACACTGTATCAATGAATGCAGACGATGATTCAACAAACTCAGTACTGGTAATATATGAGACCCAGAGAAATATAATCAGTCCAATAAAGTCTCTTAAATGTATGCTCTTATAAATTAGGCTATTATCCTTGCTATAAGGACAGCAAGGAAGCTAGCCAATAGGAGCTAAAAATACTCTAGTAACAGACTAATATCCCAATCAATAATAGTATGGTACATCAAAAATAAAAAAAATTAGATTATAATATAATCAAATAGAAATAGTAGTAGACATGTAGAAGTGTAGGATAAACACTTCTACATAAATCATCAGTAGAATCCAGGAAGGTTTCTTTACAACGGCAACCGTTGATCCCAATAATATATAGTGCACAGGCAAAGTGTTCACCGTAAAAAAATTTATTGATTCAACTAAAAGAATATAAAAGTCACTCATATAATAGCATATGAATAGGGAACCTTTCTATAGAGTCTATCTCTCAACAGCCTGGGTGCTATTGAACTGCTGACTTATCAGAGCCGGCTTCAAAGACAGCTTCAGAGTCCTGGGTGTCAAGTGACTGAAAGGCGAGATTCACCGCGTGCGTTCCACTTGGGTTCAGTATGCGTTCCACTGTGTGTGAGTTTCAGATGAAGCCTTACGCGTTTCGTGACGCTCGGTCACTTCATCAGAGGATTCCTCTGCTATTATGTGAGTGACTTTTATCTTTTTTTATATTCATTTAGTTGAATTAATAAACTTTTTTACAGTGAACACTTTGCCTGTGCACTATATATTATTGGGATCAACGGTTGCCGTTGTAAAGAAATCTTCCTGGATTCTACTGATGATTTATGTATAACTGTTTATCCTACACTTCCACATGTCTACTACTATTTCTATTTGATTATATTATAATCTAATTTTTTTTTTATTTTTGATGTACCATACTATTATTGATTGGGATATTAGTCTGTTACTAGAGTATTTTTAGCTCCTATTGGCTAGCTTCCTTGCTGTCCTTATAGCAAGGATAATAGCCTAATTTATAAGAGCATACATTTAAGAGACTTTATTGGACTGATTATATTTCTCTGGGTCTCATATATTACCAGTACTGAGTTTGTTGAATCATCGTCTGCATTCATTGATACAGTGTATCTCTATTTAGATACATTTGTTTGTGTCTAGATTCCCCCCCCCCCCTAATATATGTATCATAAGATTGAATGTTGTTGAACTGCTTATTTTATAGTGATATATTTCATTTTAAATTCACTGTTTAGCAGATCTACCATCTCTGCTAGAAATATATTTATTTAACATAGTATATCTATACGTATATATATCGAATATTCTAGGTGTTGGTATCTATTCCTGGTTGAAGCAATTGATCTTTTTCTTTTCTGATTGTTTTATATATTCAACCTAGGGTGTAGGTTGTTTTACCAGCTGTTTAGTGGATATTCACCTTTTTCTACACCATGACCTCTACCTTCCTATCTATCTAAGAGGGATTATTCACTCTTGGTCAACTTTTTATCTTGCTTAACTTGTATAAAAATAATGTTTGCAATTGACCAGAATGCCCACATAAAGTAAATAAAGTTAAATCATATATTCCCAGAATAATCAAAACATCTCTAGCAATATCTGGACTGCTACTGTAATGCTAAAAGTGAAATGGTAGAGTCCATTCACTCAAACCCCCTCCCTGACCATAGGCATATGACCCATTGCAACTTTCTTTACCCTTTGAAAGCAAGGGGTGAGTAGACATTTTCAGCACACTTGTAGACATTAAATCAAGTGACCAGTGACTTCTGGCAGAGAAATTTGTCCCAGGCTGGTAATCATTCCTGACTAATAATGCCCCAATGGTTAATAGCTGATTAATAATGCCCCAATGATCCTGCCAGCGTGAATTTATAAATCCAGCAGCAGAAACACTGCACATACAGACTTTAGGCACCATGACCACTTCAAATCAATAAAATCACACTCTTTAAATGGTGTGGTGCAGCGGAGAAGTGGTGAGTGGTGTGGAGTAAAAGGAACACTCCAAGCTCCATCCCTACTGCAGTTTATTATAGCTGTTCCAGTGCTTGGTGTGCTCTGGCACACTTTATTATAAGGAGTCAAATAATTTTTGGATGGTTTGACTTCTTACCTGTCCCCTAGACACCACTCTTCACTTCCACTACTAATGCCAGAGAGTTGTAAGTTCAAAAGCAGGAACTTCTGTTAGCTTTCATGAGCTACGTCCTGCAGCTCAACAAGAACAAGAATTTTAGGCTGGCTACAGTCAGTTCTGTGCATGTTCCTTTCCTGAGCATAGACTTGCAGTCATTGGTTGAGAGCAGTCAGCTGACACTCTCAGCCAATGAATGGTGACAGGTTTGGCAACTGGCTTCTCAGACCACTACAGCAGTCACTTTAACAAAAAGTATTATGGTTTATTTACTAAGCTTGGAATTTTGGAGAGCTGACAAGGGAATTGCAACATTTAAACAAAACTAAAACCAAAATACTTAATTACAAAAGTTAAGCCGAGTTGTAGAATTCACCCAGTTCAGCTATTTTGGTCTAAAATTTGCCATTAGTTTGTCAATTCTCCACAGTTCCTTGTTTAATATATACACCTTATTGTACACAATTTATAACCTCATTCAATACAAATTATAACCTCATTGTATGCAAATTATAACCTCACTGTATAGAAATTATAACCTCATTGTATACAATTTATAACCTCACTGTATACAAATTATAACCTCATTGTATGCAAATTATAACCTCACTGTATAGAAATTATAACCTCACTGTATACAAATTATAACCTCATTGTATACAATTTATAACCTCACTGTATACAAATTATAACCTCATTGTATGCAAATTATAACCTCACTGTATACAAATTATAACCTCATTGTATACAATTTATAACCTCACTGTATACAAATTATAACCTCATTGTATACAATTTATAACCTCACTGTATACAAATTATAACCTCATTGTATGCAAATTATAACCTCACTGTATAGAAATTATAACCTCATTGTATACAAATTATAACCTCACTGTATAGAAATTATAACCTCATTGTATACAAATTATAACCTCACTGTATACAAATTATAACCTCATTGTATGCAAATTATAACCTCACTGTATACAAATTAGCCTCCATTGCCATCTCAGGTACATCCTATACACTGTAAGTTCGTTTGAGCAGGGTCCTTTTCAACCTATCGTTCCTGTAAGTTTTCTTGTAATTGTCCTATTTATAGTTAACTCCCCCCTCTAATAATATTGTAAAGGCTACAGAATCTGTTGGTGCTATATAAATGGCAATAATAATATTAATAATAATGTCACAATGAATTTCTTAACAAACCAAATACAATTAACCAAAGTCTAAAAAGCTTCTACTATCACTTTAATTTATCCAAATACTTTTAAAACTCAACAGCCGACTTGTTCTGTTTTTTAATATGTCTATATATACTATAGTTTGCATTTGGTACTTTTTGTTTCCTCATATTTCCTCAATTGACAATGTACACGTAGCACAGTGTGTGGTAAAAATGTTATTATCAGACAGATAGTAAAGAATATGATCACATCATGCAATAACTGCTACGGTGTAAAGTATGCAAACATACCTTCTGTAGGGAATAGTCCAAAAGTGCACACAACGGGATGTGACTACTCTCTCTCTTTAAACTGTGTTTCTTAACTCTCTAACACACCCTCCTTCTCTTGAGAATGACGCCTTCTCAAATAGCAGGAACCAGCCCAAAGAGTTAAGCAACATGGAGTGCAACATCAGTAACTGTGACATGCTGTACTCACCTCTCAATAATACAAGGTAAAGGTGTGACCTTGGCTTTATAGACACTATGTAAAAGAAATACACTGACACACCACATTCTGCTTCTGGAGCTGCACAACACACAGAATGATTCTAGTGTACTTGCAGCATGCTGATTCTGGACATCACCTGTAAACACATCACACAGCATCCTCCATCTGTATACACATCACACAGTATCCTCCACCCATATACACATCACACAGTATCTTCCACCTGTATCCACACCACACAGTATCCTCCACCTGTATACATATCACGCAGTATCTTCCACCCATATACACATCACACAGTATCTTCCACCTGTATACACATCACACAGTATCTTCCACCCATATACACATCACACAGTATCTTCCACCTGTATCCACACCACACAGTATCCTCCATCTGTATACACATCACACAGTATCTTCCACCCATATACACATCACACAGTATCTTCCACCTGTATCCACACCACACAGTATCCTCCACCTGTATACATATCACGCAGTATCCTCCACCTGTATACACACCACACAGTATATTCCACCTGTATACACACCACACAGTATCCTCCACCTGTATACATATCACACAGTATCTTCCACCTGTATACATATCACACAGTATCCTCCACCTGTATACACACCACACAGTATATTCCACCTGTATACACACCACACAGTATCTTCCACCTGTATACATATCACACAGTATCTTCCACCTGTATACATATCACACAGTATCTTCCACCTGTATCCACACCACACAGTATCCTCCACCTGTATACATATCACACAGTATCCTCCACCTGTGTACACACCACACATTATCTTCCACCTGTATACATATCACACAGTATCCTCCACCTGTATCCACACCACACAGTATATTCCACCTGTATACATATCACACAGTATCCTCCACCTGTATACACACCACACAGTATCTTCCACCTGTATACATATCACACAGCATCCTACATCTGTATACACATCACACAGTATCTTCCACCTGTATACATATCACACAGCATCCTCCATCTGTATACACATCACACAGTATCTTCCACCTGTATACACATCACACAATATCTTCCACCTGTATACACATCACATAGTATCCTCCACCTGTATACACATCACATAGTATCCTCCACCTGTATACACATCACATAGTATCTTCCACCTGTATACACATCACATAGAATCCTCCACCTGTATACACATTACACAGGATCCTCTACCTGTATACATATCACACAGTATCCTCCACCTGTACACATATCACACAGTATCCTTCACCTGTATACACACCACACAGTATACACATCACATAGTATCCTCCACCTGTACACACATCACACAGTATCCTCCACCTGTATACACATCACACGGAATCCTCCACCTGTACACACATCACACAGTATCCTCCACCTGTATACACACCACACGGAATCCTCCATCTGTATACACTTTACACTGCATCTTCCACCTGTATACACATCACACAGTATCCTCCACCTGTATACACATCACATAGTATCCTCCACCTGTATACACATTACACAGGATCCTCCACCTGTATACACATCACAAAGGATCCTCCACCTGTATACACATCACATGGAATCCTCCAGCAGTATACACAATACACAGCACCTGCATACACATCACACAGCACCTACATACATAGTATACAGCACCTGCATAAACATCTCACAGCATGATGCACCTGCATACACATCAAACAGCGTACAGCACCTGTATACACATTAGAAAGCATACAGCACCTCTATACACATTACACACAATCATCCATCTGTATACTCATCATACAGCACCTGCATACAGATCTCACAGCATGCTGCACCTGTATACACATCACAGAGCATACAGCACCAACATACACATCTCACAGCAGGGTGCACCTGTATACACACCACAAGGAACCTATATACACATCATACAGCACCTGTATGCAAATCACACAGCATCCTACACCTGCATACACATCACAGAGCATACAGCACCAGCATACACATCTCACAGCAGGATGCACCTGTATATACACCACAAGGAACCAATATACACATCATACAGCACCTGTATGCAAATCACATAGTATCCTCCACCTGTATACACATTACACAGGATCCTCCACCTGTATACACATCACAAAGGATCCTCCACCTGTACACACATCACATAGTATCCTCCACCTGCATACACATTACACAGGATCCTCCACCTGTATACATATCACACAGGATCCTCCACCTGTATATATATCACACAGGATCCTCCACCTGCATACACATCACACAGCATACAGCACCTATATACACATCACAGAGCACATTCATACACAGCACCTGTAAACACATCACACAGTATCCTCCAGCTGTATACACATCACACGGAATCTATATACACATCACACAGTATCCTCCACCTGTATACACATCACATGGAATCCTCCAGCAGTATACACAATACACAGCACCTGCATACACATCACACAGCACCTACATACATAGTATACAGCACCTGCATACACATCTCACAGCATGATGCACCTGCATACACATCAAACAGCGTACAGCACCTGTATACACATTAGAAAGCATACAGCACCTCTATACACATTACACACAATCATCCATCTGTATACTCATCATACAGCACCTGCATACAGATCTCACAGCATGCTGCACCTGTATACACATCACAGAGCATACAGCACCAGCATACACATCTCACAGCAGGGTGCACCTGTATACACACCATAAGGAACCTATATACACATCATACAGCACCTGTATGCAAATCACACAGCATCCTACACATGCATACACATCACACAGCATCCTCCACCTGTATATACATCGCACAGCATACAGCACCTGTATACACATTGCACAGCATCCTCCACCTGTATACACATCGCACAGCATCCTCCACCTGTATACACATCACACAGTATACAGCACCTGTATACACATCTCACAGCATACAGCACCTGCATACATATCTCACAGCACTCCTGAACTGTACACACAGTTTTGAAAGGGAATTGTTTTTTTTATTACATGAAGTATATGTATACAAAATGTAATGAAGTATATTAAATTAAGTATATGCAAAAAAAAAAAAGAGAAGTATATTAAATGAAGTATATGTAAAAAAAACAAACAAACAAAAAAAAAAACGATAAAAAACAACTAGTCCCTACCTTTAGTTTATGGCAGGATTCCTCAGCCATATTTATGAACCCTGGATCGGACAGTGTCTGAAAACTGATAGTTGGCATCTGTGTCTTCCCAGCTTCACTCTGTGCACAGGTTGTTTTATTTATGTTAAAATTAATCACATTCCCTTTACGCAAGTTAATGGGAGGCACTGATATTTTTCAAACTAAAAAACATAGTCAACAGCTGTATTTTCATATTTACGCAAAGCTCTAAATTCCATCTAGCCTGTCTCTCTCTCTCTCTCTCTCTCTATGAAGGGGAGATAACAGGGTAGTGAGACAAGAGGGCTTTACATTTTTGCAAGCATGCATCTGGTTTCATTTACTTTTGCAGCAGTTTCTGTTGCCCCATGCTTGTATTTTCATGAATGATGTTAGCTGCGTCCAGGTGCAATGGTTATTTAAAGCAGCTCTGTCCCCTTCAGGGGTCTTTGCATATTTTGCCACTTTAATGAATCTAAAAAAACATAAATGGATGCTCACAGAAGTTAATAGAAGCTACATATGGCAGAAGCCAAAAATTCTGAGAAATTGCAGCAAATACAGGAACTTGAAATGGGAAAAAATATTTGTAATCATTATTTATTTATTTGTGCATTTAAACAAACACTTTGGCTTGACTCTAGCCCTTTTCACAACTTCCTCTCAATGAAGTTGTTATGGGGTCGAGACTCTAGAGCCTCTGTGCACCTTCTTGTCCCCTTCATGTCCACGAAGGCACCTATCTGCATTACCTTCTCAGTACTCCTCCTAGTTCTACACCGAACCTGAAACTTTACTTAGGGACTTGTGTTAATGTTTGAAAGCATTGGCTGATTGATGTTCACAGTCTAGCACTGGCCACCAATGGTGGTTTCCAGTGTTAAAGGACCACTATAGGCACCCAGACCACTTCAGCTTAATGAAGTGGTCTGGGTGCCAGGTCCAGCTAGGGTTAACCCTTTTTTTTTATAAACATAGCAGTTTCAGAGAAACTACTATGTTTACACTGAGGGTTAATCCAGCCTCTAGTGGCTGTCTCATTGACAGCCGCTAGAGGCGCTTGCGTGCTGCTCACTGTGAAAATCACAGTGAGAAGACGCCAGCGTCCACAAGAAAGCATTGTAAATGCTTTCCTATGAACTAGCTGAATGCGCGCGCGGCTCCTGCCGCGCATGCGCATTCAGCTGATGACGTCGCTAGGAAGGAGGAGGAAAGCTCCCCGCCCGGCGCTGGAGAAAGGTAAGATTTTAACCCCTTCCTCTCTCCAGAGCCCGGCGGGAGGGGGACCCTGAGGGTGGGAGCACCCTCAGGGCACTGTAGTGCCAGGAAAACGAGTATGTTTTCCTGGCACTATAGTGGTCCTTTAACCCCTTAAGGACCAAACTTCTGGAATAAAAGGGAATCATGACATGTCAGACATGTCATGTGTCCTTAAGGGGTTAAAGGGGAACCACTAAATGAAAAGAAAATAAAAAACAGAGCACAGATTACATTGGAGAAAGAGAATTCACAAAACTCCAAATTGTACCAAACTGAAATCAATCCAAATGGCAACATACAGGCTAAAACACCTGAGATTACACATTGTTCAAAATGAGCTTTTTTGTATATATTTTGCCATCTGGGTTTCATTTTTTGACAATTCAGAATTTAGTAAATAAATGGTTTCTATTTTTCCTTGTCTATATCTTTTGTTGACTGACAGATGTAATAGGCTGAACAAGGCAGGGATTCAAGATGGAGGTACACAGGTTCCAATATAAAGCAGTATGGATTTCTACATTCAATTTTATTTTCAGATCTCATAAACACACATGTTAAAAATAGAGAACAAGTATACATAAAGTTAAAAATCCAAACAAGTGGTGGTCCCCCTTTAAGGGTGCAGTCTAAGAACCATAATCACTTCAATGATCTGTAGTGGTGATAGTGCTCAGGGTGCCCCTTTAAGCAAATGATTTGCGATATAATATGTTTAGAATCTTCACCATCCAAATTAAATGTATAAACTGGCAATATCGCTCTGATTGCCAATTAGTAATACACTGTTCATTAACATATTGCAACAGTAACAAGTAAAACAGGTACATTTAACAATAAACTCTTGCACAAACAAAAGAGTAATCCAATAATTTCACTTACCAGAAGGCGAAGGGTATTATTAGCTCTGCATCTAATTTGTAAGGCCAAGTGATTTATTTATCAATGTGTCTGAGCATGCCACAGCTGGAAAAGTGTGGATTATAAACAGATTTAAAGAGAGGACCATGGGGAACGGCAGAAGAAATGAGGCTTACTGCAGGCATACAAGAAGCACACTTCAGATATTCACATTTTAGAGACTTATTTTATACACAGAATTACTCCGCAAAAAACACAATATGCTGTAAAAAACGAAACAAAAAACAACAGGAACAAAATACGAGCTCTGCCCATTGCAATACTAATGAGGGTCTAAAACAGGCATAGACAACCTTTGGCACTCCAGATGTTTTGGACTACACCTCCCATTATGCTTTGCCATCATTATGGGTGTAAGAGCATTATGGGGGAATGTAGTCCACAACATCTGGAGTGTCGAAAGTTGCCTATCTCTAAAACATCTGGTGTGTTGGTCTCACGTACGACTTTTATGCTGGAGGAAGATACAGCTGCAGGTAGCTCAAGTACAAGCTGGAACGCAACACTGAGAACCGAGGTAAAGTCACTGCCTTAGAAACCCAGGATTAAATCTCACACCAACAAGTATGGTTTAAACCTGAGGTCAGACGTGCAACACTCATTGCTTTGCAGCATAACATTCAAACCGTTAAGTTATCTAATTGCCCTTATTAATCTTGCCTATTAATCTTGTTTACTAATATCTTTAAAATGTGCGATTGATTTCCATATACCATGTAACTGTATGTTTTTCCTGTGCTTTGTACTGCTATTGTGGCATTGCAAGCATACCTGTCATATTCTGCACACACACACACACACACAAAAAAAGTTATCTAATTGCTTACTAATCATGATGATAAAAAATAAAATATATATACACAACATACAAGATCCAGCGCAGTCACTCATTCAATAAACTGTAATTTCAAAACACACAGAATGTAATATTTATTTTTTTTAAACAATTTACCTAGGCAATAATATACCCACCACAATATTTCCCAAGTAAGTTGATTCATCTCATAAGAGCATGCATTATTTGCTAGATTAGGACCTGTCCAGAATGGGGTACATTGACGTTGTGGCAGGGTAATGCAATGTATGATCATATACTGTAACCAGACCACCATTATTTTGCCTAGATTAGGTATTTTTAAATAAAACTATACATGCTGTTAGCCATGAAATTGCTGTTTTGTGAATGAGTGACTGACCCTGGCTTGGCAAACAAGCTCTACGTGTAAAATGCAATTTTAGACTTTATGAAATTGACTTTAATTCTGTACACAAACTAAAAAAAAGCTCTAATGTGTCATTGAGCCCTTCCCTCTATTCTCTTCCCTATCTATTGCATGTTACAGCAGTTTCCTTTGCAGAAATTACTCAAGAGAGTATGTCTAAATAAAATTACTTCAGAAGCCTAATGACAAGGGAATACTTATATTCATAGTAATGAATAGAACTCCAGAAAAGAAAACCAATATCATTTGATATTGATTAAAATAAATGCTTTGTTGCATCCTAACCTCTGTTTGTATTGGTTTTTAATACATACACGTTAACATGTTATTTCAGTTACATTCCGGCTTACCAGTGCTCCACGAAAGCGACTATTTTAAAGAGCAGCAAAGTGAGTGGCGTACAATTAAATGTGGAAAGTCGATGTAATGTGGTAGCACATTTTACTGGAATCTGACAAGTACACTTACCCAGGGACATAGCTCAGTGGTTGGCGATCGGCTGATGCCCTCAGCTTAGGAACTTCTGGTTCTCTTACACGAGCAAGACCCAGATAAAAAGTCATGCAGAGAACTCCTGGCACCATAACCACTAAAGCATGCTGTAGTGGTTAAGGTGCTTTTAGTGTTCCATTAACCCCAAAGTTATCCTCTGGTAATATCTACACAATTCCACACTATCTTTTGCTGTTTTTTTGTGGGTTTTTTCATATATCATGGCTTTGGAGTTAACCGGTGTGTAAGTGTAACTGGGGTGCACACTATCATTTGTTTTTCATGTATCTATATAATTCCAGAACGGACATTTTAAGAGTTATTCACTGAAGTGTGAATCGTCAAGAATTCAAAGTAAATTTCAAATTTTACACCAATATTGCCAAAATGAAGCCAAAGCAGGTCACTTTGAATAGTTTATACCAACATTTTAATTTCAATTTGAATACATTTCACATCCTGACAACTCACACTTTAGTGAATACCTGTAAATGTGAGATCAATGAACTGCGGTGGACTTGATAACATACAAAATGGTTGGTGTTAGAACTCCATTAAACATAGCTTTGAAGCCAGACAGAGATCATTAGGAGCCAGTTAGACGTGTTTCTTAGGAGCCAGTGGATGATGCTGATAAACAATTCTTTTATAAAACATCAAATTAGCCACATGTAGTGACAATTGACATTGTCAGTCCCAACTCCCTGGCTCCTGGACTTTTCCCAACTCCTTCTTTACATATATATATGGAAACATCGGTGTGTCAGACACAATTATTTTACAAAATTTATAATAAACTGGCAAGCAGGATAACTGACTGTTATATAACAACATTTCACATTAGCTGACAACAGATACTACATTTTTTATATAACCCAAAGAAACACAAAGGATGTTAGAAATTGGCATAGTAATATTACCAAATTGAGCACAAAACTCCAATATTTGGAAAATGCAGATCATATATCAGCAGTTGTGTTGTTCTACTGATCTCTGTTTTGTTTGTCTGTTTTTGTTTTGTCTGTGTTTTTTCTGAGAAACGATTCTCTAGCAAGGTCCAACAATTAGCCTGCCCACACTAGATTTCATTAAAATGCATATACATACAGTCACACTCTCACCCACCCCACCCCAAACACCAACATACATACACACATACATACACACAAGTACACGCACACACACAGTTGCCACCAACAATTTATACCAACAGCAAGGCAAAGTATTTGGTTCTTTTTAAATACAAATAAAAAATATCCACATATT